TTGAAGCTCGATTTGGGCTTGGCGTCGGAGCGCGTTGTGCTGTCCATCGAGCCATGTGTGAGCCCAGCAGGAGCGAAGGCTGGAGCCGCCGCAAAACCACCGAAGCCATGCTGCTCACCCATTCCACCGAACTGGAAGGCGCTGTTGGAGAATGGCGAAGCCTGGGATCCAAAAGAGGAGGTTGGGTTGAACTCCTTCGCTTCAACGTTCAGAGACGAAGTTGACAGCTTCGAATGGTGACCAGAGTTCCATGGTGCCCCACGATGCTGTGGTGTTCCACTGAGGCTGGGGTTGGTATCGAAATCAGATCCCTCGTGCCCATTGTCCTGGAGATAATGGTCCCCAAAGAACTGGTGTGCTTGCTGGGCGAATGAGTGAGGCGGCTGGCCAGAGGTGCTTTCATCGTTCTCCGGCAGCGCCCAGCGGGAGTTGAGCAAGTCAGCAGCTTTTAGGGGCTGAGTATCATGATCGTCTTCGTCCAATTGCCGTTCAATCGACTCCTCCAGGTGATAGTTGGGATGCCCCATCTGGTCAAGGCCACGCTGCAAGGTCTCGCTGAGATTATGACCGTGGCCACGAGGTGTCGGCTGAGCAATTTCAACATTGGAAGCGTGGAATTGATCCGGCGGCGCATTGATGGGGGTCTGAGGCATAGGGAATGGCGGGCCATCGGCGTGGGTCTGACCGAATTGATCGCTGAAAATATCTTTGGAGGGAGCCGCACCATCGAACCCTTGGTGGAATGGGTTTTGACCATGCAGAGGGGAAACTGGTGATAACATGGACGAGAAGTTGTGCATCCCTCCAGGTCCAGCCGACGAGTTGGCTTGACGAGCATTGAGGAGGCTCTGAGGCGTGATGGATTGAGCCGGCGGCGTGGGCTGGAATTGGAATGGATATCCAGGCATATAGTTCTGCTCGACGCCCATGAACGGTGTCTGAACGCTAAATTGTGAAGCAGGAGACGCCAATGACCCCATCCCACCACTCGTCGTGGCTGTCGACTGGCCAAAGTGTGGCGAGAAGGGATGATGGGGTGCAAGCGGATTGCTCCCTGCCGACGCAGTAGGCAGCGGCGGCGATCCGACAAGACCTGGGAACGGTGTGTGCGTTTGGCTCATTGCAGCCTCGGCGGGAGACATGGAAGGTTCCGGCTCCGGTTCGGCAAAGGATACTCCCAGAGCCCGCAGCTTCTCCTCTTGCAAGTCAGCAACATAGGCATCCCACACGGCCTTGTTGGGGAAATTGATGACCGGCTCCTTGCTCTTTGGGTCTGTCTGCATCTCGGCTGGATCGGGATATAATGGTCGACTGAGGCCGCCCAGGTCTGTCGTCTCAGTTGGATCCTCGGACGAGCCGATGCTGAATCCACGGACATCCCATCCGTCATCCTCCCATTGTTTTAGCCGCTCCTGAACATCTGCGGGGGTCAAGAGACGAGTCCCATGCTGCTCCGATCCTCTTTTATCATCTACTGGTAGATCCACAATACAGGCCTTGCCGCGCCAAGCCAACTTCTTTCGCCGTCTTGGGGTATGGATAGAAGCCTGGGACTTGTGTCGTTTTGGCAGCGCCGGCTTAGATTCAGCCTCTGGCTGCTCTTGTAGGGTTTCAATATCCCCATCGGCCGGCGCAGGAGGCAATGGCTTTTCCACAGGCGAGGTTGGGCTGATCACCTCCGCCTCAGCGGAGGGCTCCATCTCCTTGATATCGGACATGATGTTCTGCGGAGAATCTTGGTCGTAGGCAAATCCCCAAAAGTCCTCTTGACGCAGGGTTTCTGCACGCTTGTGCAGCTTCTTCTTTAGTCCAGCTGCGCTGCGGCCCACAAAGTCCGAGAGAGTGGGTGTTTTGAGGAGGTCGTCGTCGTCCCGAATGTCTCCCTCTAGACCGAGCCAATCGTCCGACCCGTCGTCTGCAAGCTGTTGCTGCTGCTGCGCTGCAAGAAATGACGGGGCCTCACTCCCAGAGTCGTCACTCAACCAGTTGGTGCGCTCGCTCCGAGGCTGGCCCGAGAGATACTGGTTGATCCAATCCTGGGTGAAATCCCGAATCGACTTGTCTTCGTTCTGCGCGGCGGGATCTCCTTCCGGTGCGTTACTCGATCTCCGAGACGCCGGGGCAGGCGAGCTGGCTCCAGATCCGTGATCGACACCGGCGTATTGACTGAGGGTCAACGAGAGTCTGCGCGAACTGGGTGCGGCATACGGGGAGCCCCAGGTCGTTGTATAGTACAGACCACTATCTTTCCTGCGGTGGTCCGGCGATGAACTCTGCGACTCCTCAGTCTCACGAAGTGCCGAGAAGACGGGGAGCGATGGCGGCTCGAGGGCAATGCTCCGTGGAGAATTTGGGGCTGAATGCGAACCCGCGGCGGACGAGCTCGAATCTCCTGACGGCGGAGACGATAGGAGCAGAGCCGGGGCTTGGCGCGCCTCGTCGTCGTCGTCGTCTGTCGGGTGGAAGGGCGGAGAAGACGCCGAAATGGCGGAAGAGACGGGGTGATCTAGATCTGGAAATGCATGGTCAGTGGCCGGGTGGGGGAATCAAGGGAGACCGAGACAGAAAGAATTCTCGCGTGGCAAGGAAGATAAAATGGACCAGTCACATACCTTCCGTGTCGACTCCTGCAGCAAGCACTTGCTTGCCGCTCCGCTTATTGTCCAGAATGTTGACGCATGGAAATCACACTGGGCAAATTGAAGACCACCTGGCGGACGACCGTTGTGATCTGGGTCTGGGGGTGTGGGGGGTTGGAAGGGAGTGTGGAAGACCAGCAGTCTGGCAGTGGGATGGCCCAGTAGTCCGAGGATGTCGTGGGATAGAGATCACAGCAGACCGGGCTCGGGATAGACCATGGCGCAACAACAGGAAGGAGGTGAACGAACGACAAACAGGGGAAAAGGGAAAAAAAGGCCGTCACGTCACGGGCCACGGGGTGGGTACTGGGTACTTGGATGTTGGCCGGGCCAGCGCGCGTTGATCGAAGTACCGGGTACCTAGGATGGACTCGGTCCCTGAGTGGCTTAGGGTTGGCCGTTACTAGTTCCCTTCGCGTCGCGTCACTGTGGCCTTTGGTCCTCGGCCCCAATGGGTTTGAATTGGATCTATACAGGACCCTCTCTTTCTTGCATTGCGCTGGTCTATCCACTCTCGTCCATCGGCACCTCACCCCCCTTGCGCCATTCGCATGCATTCAGTGAGCGCAAAATAAACACGGCGAGATTTGTGGTTCGTGTCTGGAGATTCAGGGGTTCCAGATCCACGGCTCGCCGTGACATGACCATTACCATACAGCAGTGGTTTCAGCGCATATCACTGGTCAATCTCTTATTCAAATGGGGCCAACTCTGTATTGTATAACTCTATGTAACTTCGATGATGGAGCTATGAGATGCCGGACTCTATGTATGTACTCTACGGGCAAGTCATGTCGAACTTGGCCGTACGGCTCGCCGTCAATAGCCCCCAGTGCTGCTCGTTCGACACCTGCCCATTGTCCCCCGTGCTGTCGGGCTTCCACGACTCATCAAACGCCTCGAAATAGAACACATCCACCCCGGAGTTAAGCATGGCGCACACCCCGTCCTGCCAGAACTGCTCGGCATTAGCCGTGCCCGCCTGCGCGGCGGCATAGTCTGTCCCGCCGTCAGTCGGCCAGCCAGTCTCGCCGTTCAGCACGCGGATGTTGTCGAAATTGCTACCGGCCACCTGCTGGATGTGCTCCGTGGCGCCCTTCATGTCGGAGAAGTAGACGTTGGTCGCGTTGTCGATCGGGCTGCCCTGCCAGTAGGCGAAAGCATTGGAAAGCAGGTACGTGACGTTGCCCTGGATCAAGGGGTCGGCGGTGCCGTCGGCGTACTTGTTCCAGCTATCCGCGGTGCCGACGGTGGTTTGCGGGAATGCGCTCTTGACCTGGTTGATACGGGCCAGGAGGGCATCGGCGGTCATATCTCCGCGGTACAGGGCCTCGGAGCCAACGGTGATGGCCTCAACGACGGCCTCGTTGCCCGGCACGGCAGACTGGAGAGCGCTGAAGTCCTGGTTGAACGAGGCATCGGTGTCAGGCCACATGCCGAGGACGACCTTGGCGCCGCTGGCCTGGGCGGCGGGGAGGATGTTCGCGGCCGTGTCGCATTCCGAGGATGAGTAGGTGCGAACAAGAGTGGAATTGACCAGCGACTTCAGGGCGGCGAAGTCGGCTTCGTAGTCGCTGGTGGCCTTGCAGGAGCCATCAGCGTTCTTGTCGCCGAGCGAGAGACCCAGCGTGCCCTTGGCGGCCGAGACCACGGCCGGAGCGGCGAGGACGAGAGGAAGAATGCTGGTACGCATGGTGTGGAAATGTGTCGGGGAGAGGAAGAATGCAAAGAGAGAATTGTATGTATGTACAATGCAAAGAAAGAGCACTGAACAATGAAGAACGGCAAGGTGGCGGCCTTTAAATATCCCAGAAAAGGTACCCAAACTATCTGTTCAGGCCTTGCGCGGCCCTTCCTCGGGGTCCTGAGGCGAACGGAACCAGACCTTGCACTGGAAATACTATTCGATGCACCAGAGTCATGATGTCACCACGTTAGTCCCAGATACCTCCGAACCCTGGGATGCGCGTGGAGCCGCATCGGACGACCTGCCGGTCTGACAAACGGCATGTCCGAGCCGGTCCCCATTGTCCCTGTAGCAGTTTGCGGAACGGTTCGGGGCCTGATGATTGGGCTGATCATCGGTCTGGACTCGGGTCAAGTTCTGGAATTCTTCTCTCGCCTCTGGTGAGCCATGGTAATCTGATGAGCGGCACTGCGGATGAGTAGGGGGTTTTTCCGCTTGCTCGTAGTGAGTGTTGTTGAGGCCTGGGCCTGCTTGGCACGAGAAAGGAGGATTTGGACATTACCTGACTGTTTAATGGGGAGGAGAGATGGATCCCCGGGCATATTCAGAGTAGAGAGAAGTAGAAAGTAGTAGTATACATGGAAATAAAAAAAGAGGGCACACCCCGTCAACATCTATCTCCGTTCCGGAGTCTCCTCGCCACCCCCAAATCGATTCTTCCACCACACCCACGCAGCCTTACACCAAAACCACGTCTCGATCGTACCAAAGATCCCCAGCACGACAAACAAGAACACCTTGACATTCCGACTGATTCCGAGAGACTCCAAGCTCGCAGACGGAGGCTTCTCATAGATCTCGTCATCTTTCTCCTCATTTGATTTGGACCGACGGGGCTTGGTAGTGAGCAGTGCGGCCCGGGTTGAGAAGGCGGATGATGTTGGAGGAGACGAGGCGGGTGGAGCCGTCCAGTATAGAGGTGGTGGGGCTTTGACCAAGAGCGGAAGCTGGCGGGGGAGGAATTGTGGTTGCGGGCGGGTGGAGAGGCTGGTTATGGCGAGGGTGAGAGTGCGTGGTGGACGGCGCAGCATGATTGATGATGTTTTTGTTGTTGTGAGTAGTGTAAGTCAGTCAGTCCGTGGTAGTATAATCCGGACCCCCGTGACATCGGGCGTGAGGGTGCTCTGACCTCTTGACTTCAATGGTGCCATAAATCTTGCTGGATTGTGATAACTAACGCTGCGTGAACTAACAATGGTGGCAGAGACATCAACTCATACAAAATAATTCGGCCATGCATGATTCCATCCGTCGGCTAAATCTAAACAATGTCCTCCGAACATGCCATACTCAGAGGTCAATGTTCTTCTCCCGCTGGTACAGCTCCCTGAGCAGTTTCAGTTGGTTGACGCCCATGCTTTTGTTGGGGAGGACGTCCGGTAGATCCACAATGGCCCGGCGCATCAACAGCAGGCCGAACTGCCCGAAAAACCCCAGGATGCGCTCCCCGGAAGACCGCAGCATGGAACCCAGCAGCGTCACCTGCGTCTCCTGCATTTCTCCCGGTGGAATAGCCAGGATCTTCGTAAGTGATGTCCAGAACATCGTGTTGGGGAATGGATTCCGCCGCTGGGTTTTGCCAAAGTTGCGGAGGGCTAGTGCCGCGTAGCCGGCGCCCAGGGCTGTCATGCGGTCTGCGTGTGTTTGGTCACTGACGAAAGGCCCGCCGGCTTCGTCGCGCCACCATCCCAACGCCCGGCGTCCGGCGTCAGTGTTTTCATTGCCCGTAAAACCCCAGAGTGCGGGGCAGACGACTCGATACTTGGCCCACAGGATGTCGGACATATGGATACCCTTGTACATGAAGGCATCCATGGAGAAGATCTGTGCGGCGATAATGCCGACCGGCTCGGCGTGACCCGGGTTGATGGATGCCTCGTTAATGAGGGCAGAAATGAGGGCTTTGGCGAAGACGTTGAGACCGTAGATGAGGAGGGCTGGGGCTTTGTTGTCCTCTGAATTGGCAATCTCCGGAGGAGGGAACGCAATGAACTTGCGCACGTCCACTGAGGGCTCTGAAATACTGGACGCCTTTTCTAGTTCCGCTTTAATCTGTGCAATCTGTTTTGGGCGGTCAGTGTTACAGGCATCACCAAGAGAAAGAGACTGCTACTTACTTGTTGTCTGTTTGTCCCCTTGCCATCTCGAAGCTGGCCCACACACTTCTTAATTGACCGACGCATGTCTCCCATGGCTTGCTTGGCCGGGGCGTTTTCCTTGGCCACGTTGCGTAGCCATTGCCGCATCTCCTTGAGGGTTTTGTGAAGCTCGACGTAACGTTCCTGGACCTTGATCTCTGCCTCGGTGAGTCGAGTACCACCGACCTTAGCTTGTTGTTCACTGCGCGCTTTCTGCTCCGCCGCCTCCCTGGCCTTCTGGGCCTCTTCTTCCTGTTTCCGCTTCTCAACCTCTACCCGTTCTCGTTCCTGACGTTCCTTCTCCGCCTGCGCGGCCCGCCGCGCTTGCTCAGCCTCTCGTTCGGCCTTCTTTGTCGCCTCTTCCTTAGCCTTGCGCTCCGCCTCGATCCGCGCTTTTTCTTCCTGCTCGCGTCGTAGCTTCTCGGCTTCTTCGCGTTCGATTCGCTCGCGTTCTTTGCGCGCCTCCTCTTCCTTCCGTCGTCGTTCTTCTTCCTCTTTTCGAATGTGTTCTTTCAGGTAGGCCTCGGCTTCCTCTCGGACCCGGTCATGGTAGGCGGCCGCTTCATCGAGGGCGGCATTGTGCTGGGCTGCGAGTTCTTGCTCCTTTCGGTCGAGTTCGTCGTGGAATGCCTTTCGCTCGTATGCATGGACCTTCTTCAGGTCGAGGTCGAAGAGGCGGACTTGCTCGAATTGTTGCGCGAGATCGCGCATGAGCTGTTTGGACGGACTGTCCAGCGGGGGAACGTGAACCTTCCCTCGAGCCATGGTAAAGAGTGTCGGAGAGAGGAAGGCGGCGCGTCGGTGGTTGTTTCGGTTACCTCGACACCACGAGATCGTGGATCGAGGGAGGGAGGTTGAACGTTGCTAATCGCCGAAGGAGATGGTCGAGTCCAAGGAGGTCATGATGTGAAGAGAATGAACGACAATGGACGGTGTCAATAATGAGGCGACACCAGAGTTCGGGACCTTGGAGCTTCTTCCGCAATGGGAGCAAAATAAAATACCGTGCTGAGTCAGCGTCTAGGGGGGCTGGGAGCAAGTCTGGTTCTGGTTCTGGTTCCTTTGCATCATCATGAACATCATCATCAGGGAGCTAGTGTAGACCGAGCTAGAGCTCTGCGCCCGGGAAGCTCGAGCTCTCTGCAAAGGGAAAAAATAGGTGCATTCGGGGTCTCCCCTTCTATCGTTCTTCCCCCCATTCACGCTGTCACGCTATGCCCCGTTTCGAGTGCCCCCAGTGGACACTGCTACTGCAGCTTAATAGCCCCTAAGCCCGCCAATCCCGATCGTTCGTAGGGACCGTAAGCAGGCCGACCTTCAATCTAGAGCCTGGGCACGATGATTCTCCCGCGATCGATTGAGTCTCTTCTTTCCACGGATGCCGCATGGATAATAATACCCAACTGATTGATGATGACGATGATGATGAAGAGATCAATCCACGGCTCCCGTGCTGGCAGGGTCCATACGTGTATTTACCACGCTTCATTATGGCCGTCCTTCCGTTTTCCGCCTATCATGACCGTACCGTACCTCCCCACACCGGCTTTGTACTTGCTCGTCTTGCACTTCATCTTTCTCTCCTTTCCTTCCTTCTTTCCCCTCGGTCCTTCTGTCCTTTCCATCTCCCCCCATCTCTCTCTCTCCTTCCCCCATCGTTCCTTCTTCGATCCAGTCGGTGCCTACATCGTCTAGCCCACCCCTCCATCCCAATTTACCCTGCTATTGTTGTCATTCTCTCCGGGGACCCTTCAACCGCTTTTTGCTTCGGGCCCTGTCCAAGTTTATCACAGAGGAGCTTGCCACCTTGGGTCTGCTCAAGTCCGAGAAGTGCCCGTGGTCGGAAAGTCTCTTGATTCCGCAGTTTCACCCCTCCGCCCTCGCCTCCCTTTGTGCGCGGTGGTTGCAGTCACTACTGGACAAGCTCCGTCCGTCGACTCGGTCCTTCCCACAACCCTTCCAGCGTTTTGAATAGACTCGTCCTCTCAGCCGGTCCTTGGGTCGATCGATCGCCTTGGCTGTATACTTTGTCTCAGGGTCTCCATTGCCTGGTTCCACTCGTCGCCGTGTCGGTGACTTTTGCTTCAATAATTGCGTTCATCCCACATTGGACAGCACAGACGTCATTTTGGAATGCTCAGACTCGGAGGTCGTCATTAGGTAAGGACATCACAAGCTGTTTGACATCCTTCCGGCGAGAGAATTGGTGGCTGTGCATCGTCTCCCGTCGTACCCTTCCTTCCCACCTTCCCTCTCCGCTCCTTGTTGACCCGCTGCTATCGCTACTTCCTCCTTTTCTGTTTACTTGTCCTCTCTCCGTCCTTCTTCGTCCTCACGCAATCCTTCACTCCTCGCGCCGTCGCTGATTCACTCTTTCTTCGACCTACAGTATAAGCTCGAAACCTTGACCACCGTGTTCAAACCGTCTCCTGCACATCAGAACCACTTGCAGTCGGGTCTGCGATTCAAACGCCCAATTCATTTGCCTTTTGAGGCGTACCAATCTCTTGTTGTCGGATTCAGTCCGCCATCCCACTTCTTGAATCACTTTCAGCGACAGCCGTCGACCTTCAACTGGGGATCATGGATCAACAACAAGGCGGACAGTCCGGGGCCCCAGGCCCCAATGGCCGGAAGTTCCACATCGCTCATCGGAGAAGTCCCTCTGAGCTGACCCCTTTGATGAGTATGCTTTCTACAAACCTCCGCGGCCGTGAACCCCTGAACTGACTCGACCCTTTTTTTCTTTTCTAGTGGAACAATTGGCTATTCAGCAACAGATCGAACTGCTTCAGCAGCAACAGCAGCAAATCGCTGCTACACACCAGCAATACGTCAATATGGGCTTGCTCCAGCCTCAGCAGCTCGGTGGTTACTCTGGTGGTAACAACATGGGCGGCGTGTCCCCCCAGGTGAATGCTTTCCAGTTCCCCCAGCAGCAACAGCAGCAAGGACAGCAGCAACAGCAGCTTGGCGTTCCGAACCAACATTCACACCGCCGCAACCAGTCTGCCCTTCCAGGCTTTGCGATGGGTCCGCCCCCGGCCCCGTCGTCTGGCGCATCCGGATATTCGGAGTTCAACCAACAGGGTCAGAACCAGCAGGGCCAGAACAGCCAAAAGAACGAGAATACTGGTCACAGTGGTCGCGGTCGTGGTGGGCCGCCCGGTGGTGGTCACCAGCGTCGCCACTCGCTTGCCCTTCCTGAGGCTAAGAAGGCCGCTGAGCTGGCACAGCAGAAGCGAGCTGCCTCCGGTTTCCAGTTCCCGGCTCCTGCCCCAGGGGCTGGTGGCTCGGAGAATCCGTCGGGCTCGGATGATAAGCCGCCATCGAGCACTTCCCCTGGTCCCCAAGGACAAGGACTGGGCCTGCAGCGGGCCGGCAACATGCGCGCTGGTGGTGGTCATGGCCGCAGTCAGTCCATGGCTATTGGCGGCAACACCCGAGGCTCCTTGTCTGGCCGCGGTGCCGGTGGCTTCCAATTCCCGGCGCCCAGCGAGGGCGGTGGCCAACCCGATAACCAGCGTCGTGCTAGCCAACCAGGAGGCCATGCTCGGTCGGGGTCTCGAAACTTTGACAGCAATTGGCGCCAGCCAAACAACCAGAACCAGGGCCAGGATCAACAGAAGCCCTATGTACAGCAGCAGGGTGGTTTCCAGCCCGGCCACCGTTCTCGAGGCTCGATGAACCAGTCAATGGGCTCCATTGGCCAGTTCCAGTACCCCGGTCAGCCCCAGCTCATTCAGCTGCCTCAGGGCCAGGTCATGATGGCGCCGCCCCAGATGTTTGGTGGACAGCAGCTTAACCCGCTGCAACTGGCCCAACTTCAGGCTCTGCAGCAGCAGAACGGTGGACAGGGTCTTGGTCTTCAGGCGAGCCAGCACGCTCCGCCGCAGCTGTCGGCTCAACAGCAGCAGCAGCAACAACAGCAGCAGAGGAAGACGCTTTTCACTCCCTACTTGCCCCAGGCGAACCTGCCGGCTCTGTTGAGCAATGGCCAGCTGGTGGCTGGTATCCTTCGTGTTAACAAGAAGAACCGCTCTGACGCCTACGTCACCACTACGGACCTGGATGCCGACATCTTCATTTGCGGTAGCAAGGACCGTAACCGTGCCCTTGAGGGAGACTATGTTGCCATCGAGCTCTTGGACGTTGACGAGGTGTGGTCCCAGAAGAGAGAGAAGGAGGAAAAGAAGAAGCGCAAGGACATCACCGACGCGCGTTCTGGTAGCAACGCCGGCACTGACAAGCTTGGCCGGTCCGATTCGAGTGGCGACAGGCAAGAAGTTGGTCCGGATGGAAGCATCCGTCGCCGTGGCAGTCTCCGCCAGCGTCCCACGCAGAAGAAGAACGATGATGTCGAAGTCGAGGGTCAGAGCCTTCTGCTGGTTGAAGAAGATGAGATCAGTGATGAACAGAAGCCCCTGTATGCTGGACATGTCGTTGCGGTCATTGAACGCATTGCGGGCCAGATGTTCTCTGGAACCCTGGGTCTCCTTCGACCCAGTAGCCAGGCCACCAAGGAGAAACAGGAGGCTGAACGACAGGCCAGAGACGGCGCCCATGGTCGTTTCCATAATGACCGTCAGCAGGACAAGCCAAAGATTGTTTGGTTCAAGCCTACTGATAAGCGTGTGCCCTTGATCGCCATTCCCACCGAACAGGCACCGCGTGACTTTGTTGAAAAGCACCAGGATTACGCCAATCGCATCTTTGTTGCGTCTATCAAGCGGTGGCCCATCACTTCGCTGCACCCCTTCGGCACACTCGTCGAGCAGCTTGGAGAGATGGGTGACCTTCGCGTCGAGACCGACGCTCTGCTCCGTGACAACAACTTCGGTTCGGACGAGTTCTCCGATGCCGTTCTGAAGAGCATTGGCTTCGAAGACTGGTCGGTCTCAAGCGATGAAGCAACACTGGCATCGCGCCGTGACTTCCGCGAAGAGACCATCTTCTCGATTGATCCGGTTGACACTAAGTCGCTCGAAGACGCCTTTCACATCAAGAAACTTGCTGATGGCAAGGTCGAGATTGGCGTGCACGTGGCGGACATCGCCCACTTCGTCAAGGGTAACTCCTTGGTCGATCGTGAGGCTAAGAAGCGAGGCACTGCTGTCTATCTTGTCGATCGTGTCATGAACATGCTGCCCGCACGCGTCGCCAACGAGCTTTGCTCCCTTCTGCCTGGCCAGGACCGTTTGACAGTCAGCGTGGTGTTCAAGGCGAACCCGGAGACCGGCGCTGTCGATGATGATGTCTGGATCGGCAAGGGCGTCATCAAGAGCGCAGGCCGACTCAGCTACGACGATGTCAATTCGGTTGTCAGGGACAATTCGGATGTTGGCGTGCCTGGTATCACCGCTGAGCAGGTTCGCTCTTTGAACGTGAGTGTTAACCTCCCCATATTGACTTGACTCTTCTAACATTGATTCTAGGATATCGCTAATAAATTCCGGGAGGCTCGTCTCGGCAACCGCGTCTCTCCTGTCCCGCCTTTGCGGTTGCTCCAGCAGCTTGACGATGAGAATGTGCCTGTTGAATTCAATATTTTCGATTCCACACCCGCCCATGAGCTTGTCGAGGAACTCAGTCACCAGGCCAACTACTTTGTTGCCCGCAAGCTGGTCAGCGGCCTGCCGGAGAAGGCGTTCTTGCGCCGTCAGCCATCGCCCAACCCCCGTCGTCTCGCTTTGTTTGAGGAGCGGATGAACCGCCTAGGCTTTGAAATCGACCCATCGAGCAGTGGGACCCTCCAGAGCACTCTGTGCAAAGTGCAGGATGTAGACCTGCGCAAGGTTAGTCGGTTTAACTTGAAACAATATTGCCTTCGCTAATTATGTGACACAGGGCATGGAAACCTTGCTTTCAAAGGCCATGCAACGCGCCAAGTACTACGTCGGAGGTACTGTCGGGGAGGAGCACCGCCACCACTACACGCTGAACGTGCCGGTGTATACCCATTTCACCAACCCATCTCGGCGCTACGCCGACATCCTTGTGCACCGTCAGCTCGAGGCGATTCTGTCGGACGGTGCGGTGGAATTCACCGACGACGTGGAGTCCTTGAACAAGACAGCTGATCTTTCCAACACCAAGAAAGACTCGGCGCACAATGCGCAGGAGCAGAGTGTCCACATCGAGGCCTGCCGCAATATGGACCGCGACAGCCGCACGATTGGAGGCGACCTCATCGCTGAGGGCATTGTTCTGTGCGTTTACGAGTCTGCCTTTGATGTTCTCATTCCGGAGTACGGCTTTGAGAAACGTGTGCACTGCGACCAACTGCCCTTGAAGAAAGCAGAGTTCCGTAAGGAGACTCGTGTGCTTGAGCTTTACTGGGAGAAGGGCGTCCCCTCGTCCGCGTACATCCCAGAGGATGAGCGCCCGAAGAATACCGGCTCCCGCGCTGCCCAGGCCGCGGCCGCGGCTCGCGAAGCAGAGGCCGCCCAGGAGCGTGCTCGCGAGAGGGACGAGGCCATGCGGAAGCAGACCGAGACTGGAACCATGTCTGCCGATGATGTCGACGCCCTCTTCGACGATGACGACGAGGTGGAGGAAGTCACCGAAGCGGCTGCCGGTGTGTCGCTGAACCCGGGAGACCGTTCTACCCAGAGCATGCCGCCGTCGCCGACTCGCAACGGCCACCAACAGCAAGGACCGCACCGCACCCGGTCCGACCCCAAGATTGCTTCGAACGCCTCCAACGCCCCGGAGAAGAGGCTGAGGAACAAGGAGAAGCACCTGAAGCACTTCAAGCTTCGCGAGGAGGATGGAGAGTTCATCCAGGACGTCACCGAGATGACACGCGTTCCCATCATTCTCAAGACCGACTTGAGCAAGAGTCCCCCGTATGTGTCTCTCACTATCTATCACTGTGACCATGCTAACTAACTTTGACAGATGCCTTACCGTCCGGTCGGTCAACCCCTACGCCCTGTAGGGCCCGCAACCCAAGTGTTTTTCTTCTTTTTTGGAAAATATTCTTGCGTGTCTATCATATCTGCCGAGCGTAACGGACATAATCCTATCCCGACATGTGGGCTCGAACATTATCAGGGTCCTGCCTTGATTCTCGATCCAGCCGCATGCCACGCATCATCTTTCCCCAGCTAGCGTTGTTATGCTTACCCCGGTGATCAGTGCGAAGCGAGGTTTTGTGTTACTTTTTTTACCCAAGTTGTATTCGGGAGAAGATATTCGCAAGCATGATGTCCCCCAGCTCCCCCCGTTCACCCCCTGTATGTTGGTTGTTGTGCGGTGGATGGATGATGGTCTGGGACGGACTGCGTTAAAGTGAAAATTCCTCTGATGGTATCTCATATGTTAATGTTTATCTTATCTTCTGTTCCCTGTAGACACACGCAGCGATGAACGCCAAGTAGGAAAGACATCTAGCGTCTTTCCAGAAACTCTTCTGAACTCGGGCCCCCAAGCCACAACCTTGTAGCTTGAATTACGTCGACTCTCCAAAAAGGAGAATCGAGAGCTGTATGTCTCCTCGGCGCAAACATTTAGCAAAGCATTCTAGGCTTTGCTTGAGGAGATTGTTTGGAAAATGTAGGTATATTCAACCCTATATCACAAGATACATACAATACAAGAGCACCGACTCTACTCCCACCTCCTCCACTCCTCAACCGCCTTCCGCATCTCATCAGAAACATGATATCCCCTCGCCTCAGCCTCAAGCAGCTCATCCCGACGATGATGAAACCTGCGCTCAGCGTCAAAGCGCCTCAGCGCAACCGAGCGCAGCGTCGCAAAGTCATCTCGAACCACCGCATCCCGAAACCAAGCACGCATGCGCGGCGAGTACATTTGGCAGCTCGCTTCGCGGCAGTGACCCGGCCCGTCACCGGGTAAAAGACGGAGAGACGGACAGAATAAGCGGGCGATCGGGTGGCGGGCTCGCACGAGCGGCCAGACCGCTTCATCGTAGCAGTCTTCACAGACGGAGAGTTCTGGTAATGCGGCGATGTAGTGCCATGTTGAGAGGACCGGGCGGTCTCGTCGGCAGTCGCGAAGGGCAACTTTGCGGCGCGCGTAAGCGAGGAGCTCGCGGGTGTCGGGCCGGGGTAAGTGTGATGCTTCGGCACGCGTGGCGGCGGCGTCGAGGAGGTCGATGAAGTGGATGAAGCGCGGGCTGCTGGTTACCAGGTCGCAGGTGCGTTCTTGCGGTTCTGTGCTTGGGATGAAAGTGTCGCGGTGGGCGGGCATTAGGATGCGCACGTTACGGGCACAGCTGCCGCAGATGTGGAAGCGGGGGAGGTATGAGCCTGTGCCTGGATCGATGATTCGGTGCCAGGTCTGGTCGGTTGCGCTGCGACCCGGGCAAGGTCGTGCTCCTGGTGGTGGCCGGGTCATTTGGTAGAGCATCTCGAGACTGTCGTGATACTTCGTGATCATCCGCGTCCAGGCGAGCCGGGTCCATGGATTGGAGAAGGCGCAGCGAGTCTTTTGGCTGACAGGCTTCGGCTGGCTGGGAATGAAGTACTCACGGAAACGAGAATGAGCGATCTGGCTCATGCACGATGGACAGATATCCAGGTGTGTCAGTCCTTTCAGCGTATACCAGTCATAGTACGCGGACGTTGGTATGGCACGAGGACATGGAGCGAGACAGAGTCCTGCGGCGTTGGAGGATTGCTGAGTGGCAGCAGGATCCCTGTTGGGCGAGGTTCGGTTTGAGACATTCCTTTGCATAGGCTGAGATTGAAACCTGTCCTGGCTGGGAGGTCTCGAGGTGGCTTTTCCTGGTGCTGCATGGGATTCATCTGAGCCAGACCTCGGCCTGTTCCGGGTACTAGATGCTGACCTCGTCGAAGGCGGGATTTCTGGACGGGATTTGGCTTGAAAAGCAGGTGGCACCGATGTGGTCCGTGAACGCGCCGGCGGAGGCTGTTCATGATAGGATCGAACGCTCGGGGCCCGATGAGGTTCGCGGGGTGGTGAGTGAGACGCTGAAGTTGGGACGTGAGAACCCACCCCTATGTTAAGAGGTTCAACCCTTGCGGTGCGCGTGCGTGATTCCGTGTTAGACACTAGCACCGACTCGCGCTGGTCCCGTTTCAATTTGAGCTTTTCCTCTATTCGACCTGCGAGCGTTGAAACATTCACGGGTTTCATTGGATAGTTGCTATACGCAGGGCCACCGGGACGCGAGTGACCGGGCCCTTCCATTCTAGGGGAACCGTGAGAGGTGCTCTCTACCGGGACTCCGTTGTATTTATTTCCCCGCGACAGAGACGGTGGACAGGATGGCCGTGAAGTTGTGGGTTCACAGCTCGGTTTCTGATAGACTTCAGGCTCGGATGCTCGGCCACGAGTCCTGCTTGACGAAGATGACGGAGCCCGCTGAAGGCCATCGTCCAAGTGCGATCCGGCTGTTGCACAGAAAACCGGATCGTGAGTTGCAGGCGGCGTGATCGGGCCGGAGCTATCGTCTGACGAGATATTGCTGCCCATTCCGGGCACATCGGGAACAGAAGAGAAAGAGGAGAATGACGACGACGAAGGTATGTTTGGAGTCATTATAACCGGGTTCTGGTCAACACTGCCTCGAATACAGGTGCCCTCGAGCCCGGGTTCGTCACCTATGTGAGCGAGACCGTTCAATTCGCGGGCGAGGGAATCCGGCTCGTCTTCGACGCAGGGTGCCGGAGGCCATTGAGAACACATGATTCGAGACGACATAGTAATATAAAATTCAGAGCGCTATCCAGTTGCAATGATGTCTGGTGGTGATGCTTCCCTGGAGGGTTTACACATAGTCTTTAAATAGGGCGACTCGGACAGAGAAACAAAAACTGTGCCGCGGTGAACAATGAGCCTCAGGTCTCCAAGGAATCTTTTTTCTTCCTATTACCAAAGAATGAATAAAGCCACAAACAAAGATCCAATATTCCGGGTTTTTTGGGTGCTACCCGGGTGACACACGACCTTGGGTATATATAAGTTCTGACTGACATCGGGCGCATTGTGCTGGGCAGGGGCAAGAGCCCTAATAAGGCCGCACGGATGATTTGGTACATACACCATCGGCTGAGGACGAGTATCACGAGTATTTCTTTGAAACAAGGCCTGGGGATAAAACAAAGGGCAGGCTCGAGGAAGCGCCAATCCCGGCTGTGGCTTGCCGCCGTCCGGGCCGACCATTGGATCCCGGTGGAACCGGCTCTGGTTTCAGAGTATTTTTATCGAACAATCTGAAGCATGCTGGAGGTGGCTGGGGAGCAGGGATTTGTTTTGTGGTTTTATTTAGCCAGTGTGTCAACTGCCGCACATGAGGTGCACTCGTAAATCCCGGGGTATCAGCTTGAGGACGCATGCCACTTGTGCCTCTTTAAAACAAGACGGGCGGCAGATCGAACGGCGCCTCGGGAAGGCGGGTGTCGGATGGTGTTGTACATGGCCCCTCGTTTGGGAATGATGCGGCAGATCAGCAATGGCTGGTGTGTACCAGCGTTAGTGAGTTACGGCGGGTGAGGCCCATTCGACGGGGCGTGTGGAGAAAGAAGAAAGTCGGAGTTAGTTTGGGCAGGAGGTAAGGTGAACCCCCACATGCTGTGGGACAGATGACAAATGCGCGAGAGCTTGTGTCGATGATGCTTAATGGAACCCTTGGACTTGGAAACTCCCATGTCGTTCTCTCTGCTCCGACGTGCAGCACCGCGACTCTCTACTCTACGCAATCACATAACTCCACCCCCCAGCATCATCCATTCAAGACGCAACATGTCCCTCCCCACCACCATGAAGGCCGTCGTAGTCGAGCAGACCGGCGGGCCAGAAGTGCTGCAGTTTCGAACCTCGCACCCCGTGCCCACTCCGCAGGCCGGCCAGCTGCTGGTGCGCAACAACATCTCCGGCGTGAACTATATCGACACCTACTTCCGCACGGGCCTGTACGCCTCGGCCAAGCCCGAGGTGCTAGGCCGCGAGGGCGCCGGTACCGTTGCCGCCGTGGGCGATGGCACGTCCGGCTTCGCGGTGGGTGATCGTGTCGCTTGGTTGGCGACTGGCGGGTATGCGGAGTATACGGCCGTGCCGGCGGCGAAGACGGTGAAGATCCCCGACGGGGTGAGCGACGAGGATGTCATGGCGTCGTTCCTGAGCGGGATGACCGTTCTCTCGTTTGCTAAGGAGACTTATCCCGTCCAGAAAGGCGACTGGGTGTTGCTGCACGCTGCGGCTGGCGGTGCGGGCTTCCTCATGACCCAGATCTTGAAGACCATGGGCGCCAAGGTTATCGGGACGGCAGGCGGACCGGAGAAGTGCGCGCTGGTCAAGAGCCTCGGCGCGGATGTGGTGATCGATTACCGCAGCGAGGAGGGCAAGGACTGGGTCAAGCTGGTCAAGGAGGCGACTGGTGGCCGCGGCGTGGATGTTGTCTATGACTCCGTCGGCAAGGATACGTGGGAGGGCAGCTTGGAGGCCGTGAAACGGAAAGGCACGATCGTCTGGTTTGGCAATGCTAGTGGACCCGTGCCACCAATTGCTCTGCCGTAAGTTGAGGTTCTTGACATACTAAAACAGTGACACTAATTTTCTGGCAAAGCAAACTCTCCCCCAAGTGTGTCAAGATTGCGCGGCCGACGCTCTTTGGGTACATCGAGACCCGCGAGGAGTTCGAGTACTATGTCAACGAGCTATTTTCTATGCTCAAGTCGGGCCAGCTCAAGGTCAAGGTTCACAAGGTGTATCCGCTGGAGCAGATTGCCCAGGCTCACATTGTGCGTATTCACCGTGTCCTTCTTTTCTGAAAGCGTTGCTAATTTCTTTTTCTTTAACAGGACCTCGAGGGCCGGAAGACCACTGGAAAGCTACTTCTGAAGCCCTGAATACAGAATGTATATTCCATAGTCACATAGGACTGATTGTTACTAAACAAAAGAATACAATACACGTTCGCAATGCTGTTCCCTTCCTCGCACACTCTTAAGTGTATTCTCGCGACTTCTCAGTTGTCCCACTACAGCGCATCAACAACATCATCCACGTCCTGGCCCATAAGGTCCACAGGCTTCTTCCACTCCACCATCATATCATTACCGAGGACAGTGTAGAAAGACGTGTAAACGGAGATGATCTCATCGAAATAGTGCAGCCCGCAGCTAACCTCCCAAACAGAAGTCATCACCTTCATTCCGGGATAGCAGTACGAGAGCAGGCCGACTTCCAGAAAGAAGTCAAACTCGGGCAGTGGCTCGTTGCCGTGGTTCCACTTCCAGCGCTCCTCAGGGCTGAGGTCAAGGTCTGGCTTACCGGGATCGCGAAACGCTTTGGCGTGGATCTTCCCCACGGGAACCAAGTCTGAAGCGTGTGATTTGTAGAATCCGATGGTCTCAGCATCGGGCTCGGTGACGCCAAGAATCTCAAATCCGTCGATGTCTTCGACTTTCATTGCCGAGAGAGTGTCGTTGTCTGCCATGGCACGAAAGCGAGAAGCCTGTTCGTTCGTCCCGCAGCCAGCAATTGCGAATTTAGCCACTTTCCGCGCAGCATCGTAGCTTAGTTCGCCTGCTTGCTCGGCGTTCGGGGGGTTGTCGAAGTGGTAGCCCCCGAAAAGCATGGAGCAGGACTGGTTAAAGTAACCAGGACCCGCGCTGACGAGCTGCTGGTTCTTCAACAACTCAATCTCCGCGAGAACACAGATCTTTCTGGCCTGATCAATGTTATCCTTGTACTCGGGGCAGACATCATGGTGGAGCAGATAGGACAGAAAGTTCCGAATGGTGACCGTGGCCAACTTGATGGTGTACTCGTCGTCGGGCAGGAAGTAGAAAGGGAAATACGAGCTCCTGCTTAGATATCAGTTTGGATGTCTTCATTCATAGATAACAGCTTACAGATATCCTCGAACAACATCGTTAAAGTCCACTTCCAGCTTTGACTGGGTCAGGAAGACGGCGGTCGCGCTGCGAGCCCGGAGAGCTTCGTCCTGGTCCATTGCTTTCAGGTCTTGGCCGGCCACTCCACCACCCACATTGGGACCAACAGTCACCCCGCCGTATTGTAGGTACTTCAGGAACACATTGGATCTCTCGCTATCCAGACGACGATTCTTCTGGAAGCGCATCAGCGCCTCGTCAATGCGGCTGCAAGCTTCAGGTTAGTTTGTGAGCTTGGAGGGGTGGATTGTTAGATAGCCTCACTCTGCAAAGGACCGTGAACTGCGATAATGTCAGTTCTCATCCAGTATTAGGATAGTTTGACGTACGGATCGTAGAGTCCACGCAGCTCCTGGTACTCGGCAGGCGTCACAGGGGGATCAGCATAGAAGTCCTCAAACCCAGTAGGAGCATTCTGTGGATCCGGTTAACCTCGACCCGAAAATCCCGGAGAATAGATGCCATTACTCGTCCTCGTTTGCTCTTCGGCTTCCTGTTGCCCTTTTTCTTGTTCTCTGGCAGGATCGTAGACACGTCTATCTGTCCGGCTGCCTCGTCTTCCAGGAACTTGGGGTCGACGCCCGGCTGGGGCTTGGGCTCAAGAGTCCCTGCCATGCCCTGGATATCAACAGACTGGGTCGATTCCTCGGTTTCCTGCACAGGGCTTAACTGCTTCGGTCTGGCAAGGCGGATGGGGAGATCGCCTGAGATGGTGGTTTGGGGGGATTCCATGGTGGGAAGGCAGAGATGTGGCGGTGGTGAGAGGAGAAGGGAGAAGGAAAAGAAAAAGCGAGACAGAAAGAGAAGGAGGACGAAGGTGAAAGGCAATGCAAAGCAACAATCAAGAGCATACATGAGTACAATGGGATTGTCCAATCAGCAATGGTTAGGGCTATCGATAAGCACGGGTGGCCCGAGCGTCCTTAACATGTCAGCTCAGTCAGCTCTCCTTTGCGACTTTCAATAGACTCAACCATGCCACCATCACGGTCGGACATCCGGAAGACGCCGCAGCTGGGCAGTGATAGTCTGGTACCATTTGACCATGTCGCTGCAGGACAGTAGGTGGACCTGGCAGATTGATTCCATGTCTTCAACTGACACATTCTTGATAGCGACGGTGTCCGCTGCACCCTCTCGGGCTCGCTGATCGCAAAGCCCTGCACTCCCCAAGAGATCGCTTTCTACGAATCCAGCGCCCACCATCCAGCCTTCCAGGAGTTTATGCCCCTCTACATCGGTTCCTTATCCTCAGCCGAGCAGCAGCAACCGCTGGCGATTGCTGCCGCCCACGAATCCGGCGCTGTGTTCCTCCCCCAGTCTGGCTCGACAAGCTCTAGCAGCGACACACCGGTAGATACCCCCGCCCCACAAGAAAAAGAGCAAGGATGGGTTCCGTCCGGGGGCAAGAAACTGGAAACGGGACTGTCGATCGTGCTGGAGAATGTCGCGTGCGGGTTCCGGCGACCGAATGTGTTGGATGTCAAGCTCGGAGCACGACTGTGGGCTGATGATGCGCCGGTACCGAAACGGAGCAGGTTGGATGATGTCTCGAAGGAAACAACGAGCTGGAGCTTGGGATTTCGCATTGCGGGGATGAAGGTCTGGACCGGGCACAATGGCGATATGGATGAAGGGGGCAAAACCGATCCCTACGCTACAAGGCACGAGGGTGCGGAGGGTGCGCCAGGTGAGGTCATTGAGAAGGATGGGTATCGGCGTTACGATAAATGGTATGGACGGTCCTTTACCGACCAAACCGTCAAGCAGGGGTTCGAGACGTTCCTTGCTGGTGCGAAAGCGGGCACAGTGGACCGTTCGGCGCTGGTCGCACGACGACTGGCGGACGAACTGAAGAATGTGCAACGCGTGCTCGAGTTGGAGGAGAGTCGGATGTACTCATCGAGCGTGTTGGTGGTCTACGAGGGGGATCCGGAGGCGATGGAACATGCGCTGGAAGAGGAGAAGGAGGTCCCTGAGCCTGGCACAGAAGAAGATGATGAGGAAGACGACGATGGTGAGTTGGATTTTGAAGTTTCGGAAGAATCATTGGAGCTGGTCGATGTGCAACTGGGGAATGGTCAAACTCAGAGGGCCGTCAATATCAGCATTGACCCGCAGTCCGCGCAGGTGCCGGATTTGGGCGAGGAAGACAACGAAGACGAAGAAGATACGCCCAAGGTCCATGACCTGCGATTGATTGATTTTGCTCATGCCGACTGGACTCCCGGGCAGGGACCGGACGAGAATGTTCTAGTGGGCATTCGGAGTTTGATCAAGATCTTCGAGGAATTGGCGGAGTGAATGTTGGGTTGCATTTATTCCACAGCTGCTGGCAGTTGTTGAGTATTAAGATCTGAGCACTATTTATTTGCCTGCTTTTTTTGCCATGTCAATTAGCAAGTTAACGAATGCATCGATGCCAACTCGTACATAGTGAGAGTAGAGAGGCTGACATAATCACGCGACTTTTCCTCGATCTTGGGGCAGAGAGACATAGGCCGTCAACTTTCCCACTTCAACCAGGCACCATGTTTCCCACGCGCGCCCTGCTGGGGCGATCAGTCTGGAAAGGTCAGGCTTTCTGATTATCCTCAAGAGAACCCCATTGCTAACCCTCCGACCAGGCCCGAACATCGTCCCGTACGTCCACCCGACACCAAGATCCCCATCTCACCTTCAACGCTTCGATCCAGACACACCAGAGACAACAAACTAACCACCGAATGCTGAATACTAGGCTCCCTCTCCCGCGCACCCTACCCCCACCACCAAACACGCCCCCAATCCGCACGCAGAAGCGCGGCGCAACCATCCTGCCCAACTTCGTGGGCATCCGCTTCGCCGTGCACAATGGCAAGACGTACCAAGAAGTTCTGATTACGGAGGAGATGGTTGGGCGGAAGCTGGGTGAATATGTTGCGTATGTCCTCGCCCTTTCCTTTCTCCCCGTCGGAGGCTCTAGTTGGGTGGCTCTGGATCATGACTGACTTGGCTCGGTTGCAGGACCCGGAAACGCTTTACGTACAAGCAGTCCAAGAACAAATAGTCCAGCGCATGGGTGTTACTTCTTCTCGCTACTCTTTCCGCTTTTGTCGCTGCCTTGCGAATGGTGCCCATCAGTTGCGCCAGATAACATCGAGACGCGGATAAGTTGGGGTATGACAGTGCCATGCTTGAGCTGGAAGAAGCCACTTTCTTTCTTTTGTCTTTTTTTCATTGCTGTGTACAGATATACATCACTGGTTCCTTGTCACATTAGCTACTTGTGGGATGGAGTTTACAATGGATTTGATTGCATACCATAACTACATGTCCTACCAGATCTAGGATCTTCGAGATCTAAAAGAAAGATAGAAAACTCCATTTCTAATACCATCCTAGCCCTCATTGCAGGATACAGATAGAAAAAAAAAAGAAAGTAAAATCCAGGGCCGCCTATAGGATATCCGATATGTACGCCAGAAAGAAAGCAACCAGCCGAGACCACCATCCACCAGAATAAAAAACGCCAATCCAAGATACTAGCATCTATCCTATCCTCTTTTCACCGGTAGAACTCCCCTCTCTTAACACTAACCCCGTACTCCGAAACAGCCATCCCCAAATCCTCCATTGTGAGCACGGTGCGTCCCTGCCCCGAACCGCCAGACCCACCACCTCCAAACCCAGCGCGCTGAATCCCCAGGTGCGTATTGCCTTTATTACCCTTGCCGCCCTCGCCGCCAGCGGCACCACCCGTCGCCGGCGCGCCGGAGGGACCGCCTAGGCCCGAGGCGGCGTTGAGACTGCCCATCGGGTTACTGGCGGAGGAGCTGTTGGAGGCGCGGATGCGGGCGAACTGGTACGAGTCTGCGGCGATGTCGGAGACGAATTTCTGGGTTGCCAGCGCGAGGAGACGTGCCAGGTGTGGTGGGGTCTGGTTGGGTCCGTTGCCTGGTGGTGGGAGGCCTGCTAGGGTGAGGTAGTGCGCTGTTACCGCGTCAGGGATCTGGGATTGTCATCAGCGTCAGTATGAGAGGAAGAATGGATGGAGGAAAGGGGGAAGCGAAGAGGAGAGAGAGAGAGAGAGAGGAGGGGGGGGAACGTACGATCGGCGCATAGTCATCCATCTTCCCCAGGAACTCGCGCAGGCTGGTCTCCTTCTTGGACGGCGTCGGCGCCGCAGCTAGCGGGTCGACGTCAGTAGGGATAGTGGCGGCCGGGTTCTCCCCGTCAGGGATTGCGTCCTGGGCAGCCTTGGTTTCGGCCATATCGATGTCTTGGTCTTCGGTGGCGTCCTGGTCGGGGTCGGGCTTGATGGCAGAGTCGGATTGACCAGCAGAGTCGGGCTGGGTCGTCGGTTCCTGGGAGCCGTTCGGGTTGGAGGAGGAAGGAGGAGGTTGCTGCTGATCGGCCATGGCGTTAATCTTCGCCTCACAATTAGGGCTGCAGGATGGTTGGTTGGGTTTCTTTGAGGGGCCAGTGCAGTCGACGAGGTCCAGTCGATTCATCGACTGCGGAAGAAGGCGTGCACGGCCCACTACTCTCGGCCCTAACTACAACTTCAATGGTTATCAACTCGGACATTAACTACTCGATCAATAATTCATTTCATCGCTATGTACTCGTACAGAAACAGTATCTTTTCTCCCGGTTAGACTCCATAGTAAAACAAGAGAAAAGAAATAAAAGAAAAAAAAGAAAAAAGAAAATTCCATGGTACAAGGATATCCTCGACTCCCCCGATTTTTCAAACTCCGCCATGCTGAAAGGGTAAAAAGAAAAAAGGAATCAACTACTGGCCCATCTGCAGACTGGGATCCAGGTGGTCCGACTGCGACGGCGCATACTGACTGCCGTGCACTTCCTGGCTGAGCGTCTGCATCAGGTTTTGTTCGGCCGTTTGATCAAAAACACCCTGGCTGCTCGTGTCGGGGGGCAGGCTGGGCGACGCCGACATCTCATGCCCGGACTGCGAGGAGTGTGCACCAGCCAGCGCCATCATGCCCTTGATGCCCTCCACGTGGGCCTTGTCTTCTTCACCTTGCTTTTTCTGTCGTTCACGGGCCTCCCGCTTGGCGGCCTGAAGAGGCGCACGAGTCTTGAGTTCACCCGTGACAAATTTCAGGTAGTACGGTACCTCGATTCCGCTCTTGAGGAAAAAGAGCTTGAGGTTGCGTGCCTTGTCCTTGAGTTGCACCTGGTTGCGATCCTTCAGGGCCTCGCTGATCGTTCCGCCAGGGCCAAACATCGCCAGGATCTGACTCCAGTGAGGACCTTTCACCCGATCCAGTCCAGCCATCAATGCGTTCTCCTCATCCATGGTCCAAGGGCGACGTTGGCTGGGAAGGCCAGTCCTCCGACTAGCCGGAGACGACTTGGCAGATGCGGCCATGCGAGCACGCTCATAGAGAACCTGGGTAGGCTGTGACTGGGTGTAGTGAGGGATACCTGGCATGTATCCATGGTTTGACATGCCGTTCTGTCGTGCCTGCATGGCCGTCGCAGCATTGGGCTGGTACTGTTGGAAATTCGCCTGCAACGGGCTCTGCTGGAAGGTCAGTTGATTCGACGGCTGCTGCTGCTGATATCCACCCGGCGGCGTAGGGCTGTGCTGGAAGTGCTGTGAAGCGGGTGATGGTTGCTGAGCAGCGGTGTAGCCCTGGAGGTACGGGCTCTCGTGCTGGCTGGGAGGCTGTGATGTCTGCTGGGGTTGGATTTGGGCTGACGTCTGACTGGCTTGGGGCTGTGTCTGCTGCTGCTGTTGCTGCTGGGAGCGCTGAAGTCGATGGCCCTGCAGAGCAATCTGGGCTGCGCGAGCAGCACGTGCGACAAGGTCACTGTGCATGTTTTTATCCACGGGGACCTCCACTGGCTGATTGGCCGAGAACTGGCCCTGGTAGGTTGGAGACTCTTGTGCATCTCCATTGGAGCTCGAAGGCTGGCGGCCTTTCACGACTTTCTTTCCCTGTGATTGATTAGAGGCTATGTCAATGTAGGATCATGATCCATACGAACCTGTTGGGTGTTTATGGCATCGAAGTTCTTCGCAATGTACGAACTGAGATCGCGAAGGAAGTCCTCCCAGTGATATTTGTCCGGCAACGCTCGCAATGCTTCTTCGTTATTGACATCGGCGAGAAGAATGTCGCGGCGCGAAGTAGCGCGGTTGACAAAGTCAACTTCGCTGGGAGCCAACTGCCGCGTGCCCGGACGTCTCGCCAGCAAACGTTGATCCATATCGTCGGGGAAAAGTTGGTACAGCAGCTCCGTTCGAGTGCGATCCTTGGTGTTCATGGCCGAGATGAACGCCTGTGTCTTGAGTTCGAGATAGAGAGCGCCCTGAACCTTCAGCAGGCGACCGCCCTCGGGCACAAAGACGTCCAGGAAATGCTCATTCAGCTCATGGAAGCCAACCTCTTGAGATCCGAAGATGCTCGACACAAACGAGGCCATGTTGGCCTTCCGAATGATATCCACTTGAGAGGGATCCGTAATCTCGATATCCGAGGGCAGAAGGAAAGAGTGTCGGACGGTGTACACACGCTTGGTGTGATCGAATAACGAGCGCATAGTCGCGTAGGCTTGGCCATTTTCGGAGTCCGGTTCGGACACCATTGCGGCGAGGTCTTGGTAGGTGTTTTTGGCGAGGAAGGAGAGGATTTGAGTAGACTAGAAGGTTGGAATGAGTACCAGGGCAAACACGTATTATTGTCGCGTAGACTTACCAGATTGTCCAGAATAGGGAGACTCTGGATTTTCAGGTGGGAGTTGGCCTTGAGAAAGGCATACCCTCGGGCTCCAGGGAAGTCCCCCGATGAGGGAATTTCCTGCGGGCCCAGCGCGACGGTTTCTTCCTGGCGCTCGGTATGATCCATGATTTCTGAGATAATTGTCGCCACGTCGGGACTGATGTTTGAGCTAGAGATCTGATCTGCAGCCGCACCGGGAGAGGCCTCGAGCTGACCTGGTCCATTTTCGGGCTGTTGTAGGGAGTCAATATCTCGGTCACCTACAGCAGTCACAAATTCTCTTACCAGAGTGTTGGCAGCAGCCTGGTGGTCAGTCACGGCTTCGTGTTCCGAGGTTGCGACTTGGTCGTCGGGTCCCGAGTCAATCCGGCGCTTTTTGGCCGGCGAGGCGGCGCCATGGTCGTCGTCCTCGAGAGGGCGAGCAGGCTTTTGATCGGCTGCCGAGCAAGGGCAATGTTAGACAGCAACGTTCATAAAATCGTCAAGAAACACGTGCAGGCAGCTGGAGGGGGATAGTTGAAGCATGGAGATAATCCGACCGAGCTTGCAGCGACAAAAGAAGAAACTCGGTCGGGCGCGAGAACTTACCGTGATCGTGGTCCTCAAAAGAGGTTGGCAGGTTTTCCTGGCCATCAATAGATGGCCTCGAGCCTCGAGTCTCGACCATCGGGGGGTCAGGAGAAAAGACGCGCTGGGGAGGGAAGTTGTACCAGTCTGCTGGGTCTGAAAAGGAAATAAGGGCACGTTCGTAGGGCTCGGACTTGGGGGTTTGGGGGGGAGCAGGCGGTGAGTCCCGCCTCTTGCGGCGACGGGGACACATGCTGTGATTGGCGGGAGTTCCGTCAGGCGGTGAGGAGGGCGGTGGGAGGAAGTAAGAGGTTCTGCCGGGAAGCGGTGGAGCTTTGTGGTCCGTCCAGAGACGAGGTCGGCGCATGCTGGTAAAAGGCTGAGGAATCATAGTGATGGTGGATGAGTGTGAAAAAGAGGGGAGTGGTTGGGGTGATTGCTGTTGGGGAAATGTGAGAAAAGTAAACAAAAGGGGGTATCATACGCATTTTCTGTTGTGGACTTTCACCATTTCCCTACAAGTATATCTCAGGTACTATGAACACCGCACTTCCTTGCAAAGTCAAGACACATTGAATATTGCCAAACCCACCGAAGTATTTAAAGCCTTGTACGGTTTGAGATACTGTGATTACAGTCCATGCTCCCCTTTATAAATACCAAGAAAGTGTTGGCTTCGTGCGGATACATATAGCAAGTGGATCGATCCAATTCAATCATCCTCAAGTCAAGAGCACCAGCCATTGACAATGTGCCCATCCTTTGTTCTCCAGTAATCTACAGATTACTGGTGTATACATACATTCCTCAAGCAGATGTAATGGTACATGGAGTAATAGCATCTTCGCTACATGTTGCTGCCTCAGGCACAACGTGTACTGCCGCATTTGGCAATCGAGCACCCCGGGTTTTCTTGTTCTGTGCAGAACTGCTAATACTTGTAAGAGACTCAGTTCTTGAAACCTGCCAATAATCTACTCGTGTAGTATGGTGGGATCCACCACAGCTTCGTGACCCCTACCCGAGCCCTATCTATACGGCGGATCATTTGTGCGCGTCATCGACCCGTGATCCACGACCAAGTTTCCACTCAAAGCAGCCCTGGCTTCAGGAATGTTACTTTTGCTTTGCACGAGCTGTCATTCTTTCATCTGAGAACCAAGGTTTACTCCTCACATCTGGATTCAATCAATTCTCCCTCGAGCAGGGCATGGCCAGGCACATGGACTCTTTGATTTCCTGTCCTGTGGCAGTTCTACTAGTCTAGCCTTTGATATTTACCAGGAGAATAGGTTTCTGCATTTATTCACGGATAGTATGAAATTGATTGAGCTTCATTTATATGTCGTCAAGAGGCTTGCCGTCTGCTCCGAAGTTGCCGAAAGCCTAAACCCTAAACTGAAGCTCTCAAGAGCGATTATCACCTCGAGATCTAGATTCACCAATGGAAGCGCCCGTATGTTTCCGTTTTCGGGGTACCCAAAGGTGTATCCATGGAATTTTTCCCAGTCACTCTTCCCAATCATGTTTTCCAGGGGTCTGCGCTTGACTCCTTGAGCCTGGCTTTCCCTTATTACGTGCTGTTCCCGCATAAATTCTCTGTAGTTAGTATACCAATAGTTCACCTCTCGTGCCGCCAGCATCGATATTCAACTCTGTCGCCTAGACCAAATTCCTATCTAATGGTTTAAACCACCGCCATGTTGACGAATCGGCCCTCCTTCATCACCCCCGCAGCCTTGATCCTACAGGTATCTGCATTGGCTGCAGCGCAGGACTATTCCGAGAAAATATGGGGAGTCTTCTCCTACACGCTCTACGGAGACAGCACCCCCAAGATACTGGCGTCGCCCAGAGCACAAGTCCTGACCGAGTACGGCGCCAGCGCACTCTACACTGCAGGCTCCGCCTTCCGTGCTCGATATGTGGAAGATGGAATGGTCAATACTGCAGGAACGGGCATCCAAAATATCGCCCCGAATATTTTGGACTCCCTGGAAGTTAACGCCTTCTCTACGGCTGAGCCATTCGTCCTTGCATCCGCCCAGGCCTTCATGCAGGGTCTCTACCCACCGCTTGGTCAATCGTTGGATTTGCTATACTCTGATCTGACGTCGCAACTGTCCAATGGGTCTCAGTCCACGTACCCGCTCAATGGATATCAGTATCCGCTAATCGTCACAATGGATAAGGAGGATCCGCACTCTTTGACACTGGCTGGTCAGGCGAAGTGTCCCATGCACCACGCTTCAGACAACGAATACCTGCATACCGCTGAGGCGTTCGAACTAACAGAGTGGTTCGCACCGTTTTATATGAATATGTGGGAAAAGGCTCTCTCTGTGGCATACGATATAAACGCCGCCTCGTACCCGAATGCCGTGGAGATTAGCGAGTTCCTCGAGTACGAGTCTGTGCACAACGACACTCTGATGGAAGCCATCAATGTGGGAGACATCGCGCTTGCACGGTGGCTGGCAGACCAATACATCTGGGCCACGAACAGCCAAACCTCTTCATCGTCTGAAATGCAATCCAACGTGACGCCCATTGCCGGTCAGACACTGGCTTCGAGCATCTTGGATGCATTCGATGCCAACGTCCAAAGCCAGGGTAGCCAGCAGAAGATGACCATGCTGTTCGGCGGCGACAAACCGGCCGTTGCTCTAGCGTCTCTGCTGGGACTGGCAGCCGAGCAACAACCCAACTTCTACTCTCGGCCTGTTCGGGGCGGGTCACTCGTCTTTGAGCTGTACAGCTTCGACGACAGCCTCGTCCCATCATATCCGAGCAGTGATAGCCTGTATGTGCGGTTCTTCCTGCACAATGGCACCAGCAACGACACCGCGTGGCAGTCCTATCCGCTCTTCGGACACGGCCCGAGCCGGGACTTCATTCCTTACAACGAGTTCCGCCAGGAGATCGAGACGTTTGCTCTGTCCTCCACCGAGGACTGGTGTAACCTGTGCCAGTCGGAGTCTGTCTTTTGCAAGGGTGTTCTGGGCGACAAGGACTCGACGCAGAAGAAACGCATGGCTCCCGCCGTGGCTGGCGTGATCGGTGCGGTCGTCACGCTGGTGGCTATCGGTCTACTGGCGGTGATCGGCCTGCTTGTTTGTAGTGTGCGTTTCCGCAAGCGCAGAGAGGGCGCCCAGAGATCGAGTCTGGGAGGCTTCAAGGGTACCAGCAAGCTGGCCAGCGATACGGACGTCACCTTCCGCCACCCCATTTGGGGCACCTCAAAAGCGGCCGATGAACATGCGAATGACGAAATCACGGCCGGTGGAGTTGTCGTCCAGGGCCATGAGCGGCTCGGAAGCTGGGAGATGGGCCAGCAGAGCAAGGAAATCGAGAACGTTGACTCAACGGGCCAGCCACAGACCACCTCTGCTTTTGATGAGGAGAATGATGAGGAATGGAGGATCCATAGTGGCCTGACGCCAGTCAAAGTGCGAGATAGTATCTGATCTGATGGAATATTTGGTGTATAATAGGGTTAGTGAGAGGTCAATGAATGACGGACATTTCACTTGATATCGTGATATCCATCTTAGCCCTAATCGAGGTACAATCGAGGTCATGCGGGAAACTGGCGGTGGTGCTTGCCGGACATCTTGTTGTTTACCTTCCTTCCTCAGCCTCTCTCTTCCTCTCTTCCTTCCTTTCCTCCCATCTTTCCACCGTTCCTTCCTGCCACCTTCACAATCGTCCCTACCAAACCCAACTCTTTCTTTTCTCTTGACTAGTAAGTCCTCACTCACAAGCATGAAGTATGCCATCCCAACACTGTTGGCTTTGCGCCAGGATTCAACAACAAGCCACTGCAACTGGATCAAACAAGCGAGAGACTGTAAGTGTTTCTTTCATGGCCCCAACGCGTGCTCCTTCACCGTCTTGCACTCGTGTGGGTCAATACCAATATCAAAACGCCCACGGGTATCCCGAGCCTTGGGATTCATGTGCAAGAGAGCATTCCTTGCAAATCATGAGAACCTGAACAAAGGTTCTGATGATCGGTTGCATGACATCCTGTGCAAGCTGGATTACCGCCCTCACTGCTCTCGCAGGAGAAACAATGGCGTGGCTGACCATGTGCATCCAGGTGGGCTGTTAGGCCCGAAACAAAGCAAGAAGCCAGTTCTCTCTGAAAGTCCTTCGAACCAGTCGTCAGGCAAAGCAGCCAAGTCGTCGCGACCGCATCAGACCGCGACACCTGAGTCAAAGCCGCGCCGCCGACCGAAGGCCGCCGACAAAAAGCCCTCCTCCAAGACAGCACTTGTCGCAACTGACGCGGGGTTTGCGCGTTTTCTGCGAGAACATTCGTCTCCACGGCACCAGCGAGTCACTGCCGGGGGCAGAATTGTTCCAATGCAGCCCAACAGCATCCCGCCTCTTGATCGCAGTCTGCCTGAGAACTGGCAGGGCCAACCCTCAACGGCCACGGAGAGCGCTGACGAACATTTCCAGTCTGCGGGTGTAACTGAACATGGAATTCATCTGGAATACTTGGGACCGTATGCACCTGAGTTCGTGCCAATGCAGACACAGATACTTCCCCCTCCCACTCTGAGCACCACCACGCCAGTGCAGTCTCCAATCATTGTTACCTCACAGACACAAAGCCTGTCGCAATCTGCTTTGACACCCTCAGAGATGCTTGGCGTGAACCCCATCCCTTTTCGAACAATGTCACAGGTTGCCGCACAAACAAATGGTGCCGCATACATGGCTCCTCTCCCTGAAGTTGGTGGCGACCCTTGGACTGATTGGCCTCAAGTACCTGGTCAAGGACTAAGTGCTCAAAACCATTCATGGGACAATTGGGCACCAATGACAGCCAATGCGACCAGCTTCACCACACCCCAGCAGGCGGGAACGGCAGCAAGCTATGTCAACCCCAACCTGCTTCAGGCCACGATGTTTACCGACACCACTCAACTGGCACAGCAGCATGGAGTGGCGCTTCAGCCGACCTGGCAAGACAATCAACACAGGCTGATATTGCAGTGCGTGCGGCACTATACACCGGATCTGATTCACACAATGAGTCGGTATGCCTTTCGGGGCTTCAATCGAGCCCATGTCACCGTAGCTTCCATGGATCGGCAGCAGGCGATAGACCCAGGTGCAGGAAGGGATTGGAATTTCACCGCACTTCGATTGCAGCATGTCCGAGACCGAGGACAGTTCGATGAGATGGCCACATGGTTGCAGTTTGAGCCTGAACCGCTCGAGATTATTGGCAATGAGCAGGAATCAACCGCCGGGCCATCCTCTGAAATCTTGTCTGGCACCACTGGGGTTCAGCCTGGTTCTGCGCTTGGCACCACCGGAGTCTTTTCTGGGGCTTATGGGAATCAAAATATTGCTGTCCCTGTTGGCACAGAGCTGCAGTCTCAGGAACAAATGAATTCCATGGAGCTAGGTAGCAGACCATGGTTGGTAACATCTCACGGCTCTGCGGATGATTTCCATGTCGAGGACGAGGACGGCACGAATGAGGATGTTATGAACATGAACTTCCCCGAGGATGAGGGATTTGTTTCCCAGGTAGCTGATGCACCTGTCAACTGGAGTAATACCGTGCCTCGGAACTTTGGCAGTACTATCCTGTCCTCTATTCGTGAGAACGAAAACGAGGAGACGGCGAGCGATCCGGGCGATGTGTTGCCGACAACGACTGGCCCTGAGAGTTTTGCAGACTCGAACTAGTAAGTCCATCACGTCAACGTCACCCGACAGCCATCCTGACTTTGAGAGTTGCAGCATCTACCAGTCAATTGAAATGGATGAGCCAGAAGATGACAATCTTGAAGACGAGGGGGCTGAGGAGTTCAGGTGAGGATCCGTCTGCTCCGCCATTGCATCGGAACAACTAACATGGGTTGGCAGTGACCTTGATGGTTATTTCGACATCGGTGAATCAGACGACGCTAGTGAAGCCGATGAGGTGGACGTCGGATGTGGTGAATATGAGGTGGAAGTTGGGGATGGCGATGATGAGGAGGTACTCAGGTGAGAATGGATATCCCCGTCATTGCACCAGGGAGAGACTAACATAGGTTGGCAGTGACTTGGAGAGTAGCGACAGCGACGGCGAGCATGACACCATAGACGAAGCAGATGAGATGAACAAGAGCAGCCCCGAAAATGGGGAGAACGTGGAGCAGGTCGAGCCCAGGTGAGAATGGATTTGCTTCGCCAACGCATGAAGGAGCTATCTACTGATATCGGGCCAGCACTGCTACGAACCCGGTGCGCGACTTCGAAGACGATAAATACTCGATTCGCTGGACTCCTATCAATCGCCCTAGCTTCAGCTTGGATGGATCTTCAAGCCCGCGCATCCGAACCGGTGGGCTCCACATGTTGGCGTCGTTCCTTGCCCAACCCGGGAGCAGGGCTCACACGGCGTCCGCTGTTGTAGGGGAGAGCAAGGTGCATGTGTATGCCTGCCCCGGTGTCTGGTCCCATGAGTGAATCCCGGTGGAGGCGAGACTCTAGAGATGGACGAAATGGACGGACAGAAACCGAGTGGGCGTTGCTCTGAGAGGTTCACGAAGAACATACGCGTTCTTTCTTATTTTTCTTTCATTGGCCGAGAGAATGGCCCTTCATTGGTGACGGATCGGCCGCTCCGCTACAAGTGGCATGTTAGAGAACCTCCCCCCCCCCGGGGACTGTTTGATGATTATTGTTTTGTTGTCTATACCTGTTAGGAACATTGAAGTTTATCGATAAGCCCCGTCACCTGACCGGGCCTGCCCCCTTGTCAGATCCATGGATGGCGATGGCGAAATACGTTCGCCACCGCCGATTTTATTCTGTAAGGATTCTGATGGCACAGGGGATAATACTTCTCCCCTCCAAATCAGACCGTAGGAGAACACACTGCGAATGAATTTCACTCTAGACCCGTGGAAGAATAATAGTAATGCTAGAATCCCTCATCATTGCAGGCAAATACCGGATGACTAATTTGCCTGCCTCCACGTCGTCCTTCTCCACTCTCTTCCCTTCCACTTCTCTTTTGCCTCGTACAGTGACCATCGCTTCTCTTTCTCTGCAACTGATCGCCTGATCTGACATGTCGTCCTACTTATGAGTGCAGCCCTTGTGGTCTCTGTTCTGCCATTCTTTTGGGTGGACTGCTCTCATTACCAGACTTTCGTCTCTGCGTGTCAATCCCCCCGCTTGCACCGTGTCCGCTGCACTTTAGCCTGGACCCCCCTCTCGCCATTCGTTGCAAAAGCCACCGCCTCCTCCCTTGTATTTTTTTGTGTCCTTCGTTTGGGATCTTCGTGTGGTGCCTCTTTTTATCCTGCGAGTGATTCGACATCAATCCTGCCGACCATGACCCAGTTATTCGCCTCGAGTCCCCCAGCGATGACGAGCGACAAGACGAACGAGAAGCGCGGGAATTTTCCGGGCCTATCCCTGCCGTCCCGCAAACACTCCGCCGAATCGGGCCATCTGCCGACAAGAATCAAGAACTTCTTTCGCATCAACAGTTCCAGCAGCCATTCTCCCGCCAACAGCCCCGGTAGCAGTCATGAACGGGAACGCGAAAAGGAAGGCCATACCGCCAGTCCGTCCAAACTGGAGTCCAAGTCGGCTTTCCGGCAATCTCGTTTCCTTCCTGGCATTGGCCGCAACCGCTCAACAACGGTCGCTAGCGAGGGCAACCCTCTGGACGATGGTGTCTCGCCGACCGCCACAGCGAACCCATACTTTGCTCACCAGGGCCAGCCGGCGTTGCGACACCGGAATGAGGGCTCTGTCCCTTCCTCACCTCCCGATACACCCGAGTTGCAGGTCGACGGGGTCTCGGCGGTGGAGCAGGCCACCACCGCCAACAAGGAGGAACTAGCACGGAAACTGCGCCGTGTAGCGTCGGCTCCCAATGCCCAGGGCATGTTCATCAGTGGTCAGGGCGACGGGCGGCCTCAGACGGCTGACATGGGCAAGGAGCCTCTCGTGGAACATCCGGGTCCCATCCCCAAGGTCAGCCTGGCTGCTTCGAGGAGTGAAAAGACCGCCGCCGTCTCGGCGATTCCTTCTGCCGCGTCGGAAAGTAACCTCGGAAGCGAGCTCAGCAGTCTCTCGTTCCGTCGAACCTACAGCTCAAATTCTATCAAAGTCCGCAATGTCGAAGTGGGGCCCGCCAGTTTTGATAAGATCAAGTTGATCGGCAAGGGTGATGTTGGGAAAGTTTACCTGGTGCGCGAGAAGAAGTCGAGCCGTCTCTATGCCATGAAGGGTGGGTTCTTTCTCTTATGATTACTGCCGCAGAAGTCAGACACTAACTTCTAATTAGTCCTGAGCAAGAAGGAAATGATTAAACGCAACAAGATCAAGCGTGCTTTAGCCGAACAAGAAATTCTGGCTACGAGCAATCACCCATTCATCGTCACCCTCTACCACTCCTTCCAATCAGAGGATTATCTGTATCTCTGTATGGAGTACTGCAGTGGCGGCGAGTTCTTCAGAACCCTGCAAACTCGCCCTGGAAAATCTATCTCCGAGGACGCGGCCCGATTCTACGCTGCCGAGGTTACGGCTGCGTTGGAGTACCTCCATCTCATGGGATTCATCTATCGTGACTTGAAGCCGGAGAACATTCTCCTTCACCAGTCCGGCCATATCATGCTTTCAGACTTCGATCTCTCAAAACAATCCGGACCTGGAGGAGCACCGACCATGATCCCGGCACGAAACGGCGGCGGTAACTCGACTACCTCTCTGCCCACCATTGACACCAAGTCCTGCATTGCCGACTTCCGTACGAATTCGTTCGTCGGCACGGAAGAGTATATCGCACCCGAAGTGATCAAGGGCTGCGGCCACACCAGCGCTGTCGATTGGTGGACGCTGGGTATCTTGATCTACGAGATGCTGTATGGCACCACGCCCTTCAAGGGCAAGAACCGAAATGCCACGTTCGCGAGCATCTTGCGGGACGAGGTGTCATTCCCCGATAACTCCAACACGCAACAAACCTCCGCGCTATGCAAGTCCCTGATTCGCAAGCTGCTGATCAAGGACGAGACCAAGCGTCTCGGCGCCCGTGCCGGAGCCAGTGACGTGAAGACGCACGCGTTCTTCCGAACGACCCAGTGGGCACTTATTCGTCACATGAAGCCGCCTATGATCCCGCATCAGGGCCGCGCCGGCACAGATACAGTCAACTTCCGCAATGTCAAGGAGAGTGGCAGCGTGGATATTGGTGGCACCAACACGACCAAGATGAAGGGCGTGCCGCTGGATTCGGGTATGGTGACTCCGAATGGCGAGCTGAACGACCCGTTTGAGGAGTTCAACAGCGTCACTCTCCACCACGAGGGAGACATGTAAAAGCATCGGCTCAATTGATGATCATGATGCCCCCTTGACGACTCTATTTGGATCGTTCAATTTCAATGCTTGCCGGGTGTACGGAGCGCTGTCTTTCTTGGTTGTCTGTTACTGGATCTATTGCAGTGGTCTTTATTCTTCTTTTGGTCTCTTTGTTGCCATCTCCCACCTTCACATCTCCTATCGTTTCTTTTTGCGTCAATTCCGCCTCATCTTATTTGGATTCCCCGCTGAGTTGTCTTTGCATTCCTATGATGTTGTGTGAAAAATACCTCTGCTCTTTCTGTTCTGTTGCAGCGGGCGGCGTTACGGGATTTTACCTTTTTTTTTTTTTTTCTTTATGCTTGCGGGCGTGCTTTTCTCTGTTATTTGCATGGCACTGTACTAGCTTTGTGTCGAATCTATTTATCCTTCCATTTTCTTTATTACGGATGATTGTAGTTGAGAATTAGTGGTTGGCGGGAGACTCACAGGTCCTCTATGTTTACCCCCACCCTATTTCCCACGCGTTCCTGACAAACGTCACTTCTTCTCCCCGACTTCCCAAACAAAAGCCGCAGCACTTCCAAATAAAAAAGAATGTCTGCCTTCGCCCCCGACGACGGCGACACCCTCGATACCTTCGTCGAGGAACCCTCGACCTCACCCCCGCTCCCACAATCCTCGTCCCTGCACTCCATCCACGACCCAGACGCCTCGCACCACCGCTCCAATAATCCCCTGCTAGGCTCTGACAATCTTGTCTCTGACCTGGAGCAGGAGGTGCTGGATGAGTATACACGGCTGCTGGGGAATGTGAACCAGGTGAGTGAACTGATTTGATCCTTTTTGGTGTTTCTTTCCTTCTGGACCACCCTACTACTTTTTTTTCAACCCCACACCAATCTCTCTCTACCTTCTACTTCCTTTGAAATCTGAGATCTGCTCCAATACAAATGCTAACGCTGTCTTCTTTCAACAAATCCAGCTCTCCGACAAACTAGGCATCCTCGCCGGCTCCCCCTCCTCCCTAACACTCGACGGTCTCCGCCTCCTCGAGCGCAAGACCGCCACCGTGTGCACTCTGCTCAAGGCGAGTGTATATAGCATTGTTCTACAGCAGCAGATCTGGAATGAGAATGTGGAGCAACAGCAGCAACAGCAACAGCGGGGAGGAGGAGAACAGGATCACACCGAATTTCAGGATCAGGAGTACCGGCATGATGGGGATGAGGATGTGACATTTCAGTGATTATTTTGTTTCGTTTTGAGTGTTTATGTTTATGGTTGGGCGGACTAGGGGGTTGGCGTACATAACTGATGATAACTATACCCAATGGACTTCTTTCTTTGTTATTGTTACGGTTTGTCTGCTTGTTGAGGTAGTGTAGGTCTCTGACAGCTTGATATGGCAAATTTGTCGACTTAGATCTTCTCCGAAACTCGACAGCAGATATATGACGCTCGTGCAGTTACCTAGGCATTCAGTACGCATTGCGAGACATTGGATACCTTCCAAGTGATGAAAGTCCTCCAGGGCTGTATTGGCTTTTCATATTGCAACAGATAAAAGTACAAGTACATGCAAGAGAACACATATGACGAAAAAGAAGAGAAAGAGAGGGATGGAGGGCATTTATATACATGCCAGATGGCCAGACTGGACAAGCCTACACCTTCCCGGCGTAGTATACCTTACGCACGTCGACGAGCTTCTTGCCGCGTGCACGGGCAATTTCCTCCGGGTCGCGCTGAGCCATGAGTGCCTGGTACGCGGCCTTGACCGTGTTCATCTGGTTTCGGGATCGACCCAACCGCGCCGACAAGTCGGAGATGCCGGCGGCACGGCACATTTCGTAGATGAGGTACTGGACGCGGAGACCGAAGCCTGTTCAAGTGTGTTAGTGATGGCATAAACAGTAAGGAAAGAGAAGAGAGACAAACCTGGAGGACGGTGCATTAACTGCACCTCCACAGCACCAGACTTGCCCTTGACATCGCCGAAGATAGTGCGGTTCTCGTAACGGGAGATGGGTTGCATGTTGCGGATGGCACGGTAGCGCGATTGAGTCTTTGCATCACTGGACTCCTCAGACTTGGCCTCGCCGATGCCTAGCAGGCCGTTGCCGTTGCCAGCAATGGACAGACGGTAGTGGCGGCGGACCTTACCCAAACGGGTCTGGTTAACGACGTGGTGGGAGACGAGGGTTTTGGTGCGAAGATCCATGATTTGGCGTTCGGTGTAGCCCGTAGCGAGAAGCAGGCGCTTCAGACCCTCCGTCATTTCCTCCGCCTGCAACGAGCGCTCCTTCTCGCCCTTCTCGGCTGCAGACTTGCGCTCCTCCGTCCGGGGTTCGGAGATGGTCTCGCCGGGCCCGAACAGATCAGGCACCAGCGCGCTGTGTGGATCCAGCTCACTGCTCTCCTTGCCCTCCGTCAGCCGCAGCGATTCGGCAAACCGCATGAAATCGGCCCCGGACGCGTTGTCCGGCATATTGGCGACGAAGCGGCCAAAGTCCTCGACGAAGTCGTCCTCCGTCCGGAACTTGGGGTTGTACTCTGAATTCTCCTTCGGGGCCCGGAGGTGTCGGTCAATGCCCGGCTCGACGACAGAGAAGTCATCCAAGTATTTGAACTTCATGGGGTCGTCGCGTGACTTGCCCTGCTCGGCCAGGTCCTTGGGGTCGATGGCCTTCTCGCCAGCCTCAATCGCGGCCATCTGGGCAGGAGAGTATTCCTTCGCTAGCTGAGCCTTTTCCTCCTCGGTGAAGTGCTTAAATTCATCGGGCTTCAGCTCTGCCTTGATATTGGGGAACTTGGGTTTCCGGTTCACGAGCGGCGCCGGCGTCGGGTGGAATTGGCGTCGAGGCACTCGCGTGCTGGATGGTGCTATCCGCGAGAAGCTGCAGAACAGACATCGTGCTGGCCGGGCGAGACTCATGGTGAGAATGGCCAGGCTGTCTGCTGAACAGGGGAAAGATGGAAGAGAGCGAAAACACCAAGGTGAATTTCTTGCCGCGGGCGGTGAGCCACGAGCCAATCCGAGGCGGCGCAGATGCTCTTGGTCATTCTCGATTAATTTTGTTGCGACGGAATAATTTCTCCAACTTGTACATGTTTGCGCTGCGTCCGTCTGTCTGGCGTCTTGCTGCTCGTTGCTCTTTTTCTCGAGTGCAACTGCGCCCGATCTCGACATTCCCTCCTCCAAGCAGTGCGCCAGTTCCTCCCACCACAATGCCGAACCCTCCAAGGAAGCAGTTCGACGGCAAGAGGCGCAAGAAGGCCAAGGTCCAGCGCAACAAGAGCAATGGCTTTGACGAAGTCCTCCAGGCCGACATCGATCGCCTTCTCAAGCAAAGCCGGCCCGTAGAAGACGAATCCAACGACGACACCACATCAGAGCCCGTCCTCCCCGAGACATTCACCGAGATCGATGTCAAGATATCCGAGCTATCCTCGACGGGCGACGGGCTCGCCCTATCTGAGAATGCAGACCATGTTTTTGTGGTACCATTCACCGTCCCGGGGGATACGGCTCGAGTCAAAGTGGTCAGGCATTTCCCGGCGCTGTCCTACAGCATCACAGACTTTATCCGGGTGATTGATGCTGGACCTCAGCGGAATGATAGCCTTATTGGCTGTGGCTATTTTGGAAAGTGTTCCGGCTGCCAGCTCCAGATGATGTCGTACGAGGATCAGCTCGCTCACAAGCGGCGCATTGTGGAAAAGGCCTACGCCAATTTCTCAGGCTTGATCCCCGAGTTGGTTCCTGCTATTGGAGAGACGTTCCCGTCGCCCATCAAATATGGATACCGTACCAAGCTCACGCCGCATTTTGAAAAAGGTAGCCCCAAGGGCAAGAAGCAGGACGACGAAACCGCTGAGGTCCAGGTGCCTCCCATTGGATTCACATACAAGAACCGACGCGCGGATATGGACATTGAGGACTGCCCACTGGGCACAGATATTGTTCGACGCGGGCTCAAGAGTGAACGGAAGCGAGTCGCCGAGACCATCCGCTCTTTCAAGAAGGGCGCGACTCTCCTGATGCGGGAGTCGACTACACGAGTCCCCAAGGAAGACGCTTCTAAAGGGGCAGACGCCGAGACACAACCCACAAATGAAGCTTCAGGCCCAGATACAGGCGATGTCATCCGCATCGAGCACGACACCTACGTTGAGGAAAAGCGCTGCATTACAGACAACAATGCCACCTCGGTAGAGTATGTCGACGACTACATCTTCACCAACAAAGCCGGTGCCTTCTTTCAAAACAACAACTCAATTCTCTCGGGCTTCACCGAGTACATCCGCTCGCAAGCCCTCCCGCCAGGCAACGAAGACGATCCCCGCCCAATTAAATACCTCCTGGACGCCTACTCCGGCTCGGGTCTCTTCACGATCACACTCTCCCCACTCTTCAAGTCCAGCCTAGGCGTCGATGTCGCAGGCGACTCCATCGCCTCCGCGCGCGAAAACGCCCGTGCCAACGCCCTCCCCAACACCGGCTTCGCCGCCGCCGACGCCGCCGTCCTCTTCAAGGATGTGCCCTACCCGGCTCTTCAGACTCTGCTGGTCATCGACCCGCCGCGCAAGGGCTGCTCCGATGACTTCCTCCGCCAGCTTCTTGCGTTTGGGCCGCGTCGCGTTGTCTACGTTAGCTGCAATGTCCACACGCAGGCTCGGGACGTCGCGGTCATGGTCCAGGGTGACCAGAAGACCGGGGTGCGCTATGAGATTGAGAGTATTCGTGGCTTTGACTTCTTCCCGCAGACAGGACATGTCGAGGGCGTGGCGATTTTGAATCTCGCTGCTGCTGCTGCTGGTGCTGCTGCGGAGTCGAGTTGATCTATGTGCCTGGGCTTGTATACCTTTGCTTCTGTTATCTTCGACATAGTGTATTTGAACTAAAGTTTGCATTGTCTCGGGCGTTATCTGTGGTGGAAACGGAAATATAAAAGCAATGCATTGGGTGGGTTGGATTTCTGTACTGTAGATATGAAAAATATATATCCAAGGATCATGTAGGATTTTGTCCCAATAGGAAAATCCCAGGTTGAATATACAATTTCCTACCATTTATTTAGTGCAGAATAGCGTAGAACTAACACCAAGTTCCATATAGATATCTACCTGGAACCTCGATACAAAACGCTGAGACAGTACCGAACCATTTTAGAACGACCATGAAGCACGGAGACGACAAAGCACACGGAAAGAAATAAACTATTGGCTATGAACAGAGAGCGGGCTACACAGGCTGGCAAAAGTCTTAGGGGTGATCCTCCTCTACGTTCCCGGGCCACCGAGCAGCGCGAATCTCCGCACGATGCTGGGACCGATCTCATCGTACTCAGCCTTGGTGTGGCAGTAACTCCGGAATTCAGGCGTCTGGCCCAACAGGCTGCCTCCGAACCAGGGGCCGTGGCGCTGGCGCTTGTGCGTGACAACGGCCACATCCAGACCACCACTCTTGGCACCACCGCTGCGAGCCTCGGAGGCACGGATACGAGCATCGACCAGGTGTCGGATGTCGCGCTGGAGACGGCGGCCAAAGTCCTTGTAGAGGGTGGAACCACCAGACAACACAATGTTCTTGTAGAGGCCTCGCCGGACGTCAATGGGCGAGGACTGGATGACGCCGTCGACGACGGTAGGCAGCGGGGTCAGGAAGTCGGATGAGTAGATTTCGGGGTTGAAAAAGATCTCAGGAGCCAGGAAGCGTTCGTAACCGACGTCGATGGAGACGCTGCGTCCGTTGGGCGAGGTGACGGTGTGTTTCAGGAAGCGATCTGGCTCGCGGTCGTAGCGCGCAAACTCCTTGACGATATCCGGGCTCACGTAGCAGTACTCCTCCTTTACCTTCTCGGCCGTTTTCAAGCTGCTGTCTGGCTCGCCGCGATCCCGCAGCAGGCTCTGCACGAAATAGGTGATGTCTCGGCCGGCAACGGGTATGCTCTTGATCGAAGATCCAATGACGTAGCCCTCGGCGACGGGGATAACGTGCGTGACGCCGTCACCCGAGTCGATCACGGTTCCGGTCAGTGAGCGGTCGGTTACCTTGGAGGAGGTCCACGATGCGGCAAGGGCCAGTACTGCTTGCACGGCAATGTAAAGACCGGCGCAGTTGAACGATTCGAACATGATTTCGGCGGTGTTTTCACGGTTCTCCGGGGGGTTCAGCGGCTACCGGGGCCGTGAGTATCAGTGTCTGAATAGTGAATGGGAAAGATAAAGGTATCTTACCGGCTCCGTGAGCAAGAAGTAGTGATCCTCCGGCTCAACACGCAGGTACTTGAAGATGGAGTTCGACCAGAACCGCTCCATATAGTCCCAGTTCTCAATCTGTCCATGCCGGATGGGATAGTTGACGCCATACCCAGGGCCACTGCCCGCAGCCAGGGCCTCATCGCCAATAAAGAAGTCCAGGTCCTCGGTACCACGCTTCCCGGACAGGTGCGAGCTGGCCCCGCCGCCGCTGGACAGGAACGACGGCTTGTTCCCAACTGCCGGCCGGCTTCCGGAGCTTCCAGCGCTTCCAGCACCGGCCTTGGTGGCAATTGCGGTCGGAAATACGAAGGAAGGGGAGTCGTTGCCGGCGAATCCTAACGTGAACACACCATGGTCAGCCTGGGTGCGAGTAAGCAGGTCTGCGACACCTACCGAGCTTCGAATAGCCAGTGCCGCTGCAGAATCAAACACGTTAGCATCTTGTAATCCCACGTGGGCGATGTGTTCAGCAGCTCCACCTACTTGTCCATGACAACGGCTGGTGTTTGGGACGCCATGGCGGGTTGGGGAGAGGGGGGGTGGCGGTCAGCGACAATTGGGAGCAGTCGCAGTCGAGAGGGCCACGAAGACTTAGATCGGATTGGCAGACGAAATCAATTGATCGGGGTGTGTGCCCGGCGTGGCATGAAGCAGAGAGAGACAAGATAGGCAGACAAGGCGGGGGGTGAATGATGGGCAGCAAATGGCTTAAGTAAGGCAGCTGGTCTCACCCACGTCATGTGCCTCGAAAGAGTATGAGACGGGATCTTTCTATCAAAACGGTGTGCTCCTGCCTAGTATTGACCGCGTTTGCTACAAACAATCCCCAGCATGGCAGGCGCGACTTTCTTCTTCCTACACGACACACTCTCTTTCTGATTTTCTCACCTTCTCCCACTTCCTGCACCACCCTCTCTTCCCTATCCTATTCTTCTTCTATTCTTTTGGTCGGCTGAGTCTGGCTTCCCACACTCGTTTTTGCTGTTATTGTTATTCAAAACCCCCAGAGGCGCTGTACGAATCGCCGATGAGAAGTTGGCTGGTCCACAGCATTCAGAGATCTATCCGTACCGATTACGATGCTGCATTCTCAGTGACTGCTCGTCCATCTCTCAACTCTTACCGTGTGCTCGCTCAAGAGCGCTTTCATTTCCCTCATCCACCCACTTCTCTTTAACTACAACTCTACACGTCTGACTCCCAACATCTCCACCATGGCCAGTGTCCAGGAAAAGGACAAGATCTGTGCCATCTTCATCCATGCCGGGGCGGGCTTTCATAGTGTCGAAAATGAGAGGAAGCACCTCAAGGCCTGTGAAAAGTAAGTCGCGCAATTTTTCTACAAATTTTTTTTTTTTTACTTCTGGGTACTGACACGGTCTCAGTGCCGCCAAAGCTGCGATGGCGTTCCTGAGAAATGGCGGCACAGCCGTTGACGCTGTCGAAGTGGCCATCATGGTTCTTGAAGATGCCCCGATCACGAATGCTGGATATGGCAGCAACTTGAACATCAAGGGAGGTGTTGAATGTGACGCCACCATCGTCGACCACTGGGGCCGCAGCGGTGCCGTTGGAGCCGTCCCCAGTAAGTTTGATGATAACCGCTTCTTCTTCCCTGGCTGATTTGTCGGCTTGCAGATGTCAAGAATCCAATCATGCTGGCCCGGAAGATTTTAGAACATGCCCATAAGCCACTGGGCATGCAGAGGGTGCCGCCCAATTTCCTTGTTGGAGAGGGTGCCAAGGACTTTGCCTGGGATCATGGCCTGGTGATCGTTCCGGACGAGGTCTTAATCACGCCCGCATCCATGGAGCGGTGGAGGTCTTGGTGCAAGGACGTCGACCGTTTCGAGCGTCAACACCAAGAAACTCGCCCCGCCGATCCCTGGCATCGTCGTCCAGTGACTCCCATTTCCACCCGCTTGGCACGCGCATCTCTTCCCGCCCTGTCGAGTACAATCGAGGCTGATCTTGCCTCCACTCGTGAACTAGAGCCCGTGGCGGTAGAGAACGAAAGCCTGCAGAATGACGGGCTTCTTGATGGCCAGAAAACACTGGCGTCTCCGGAACAAAAGCTGCAAGAGGCAGATGGGACAATTCCTGTCGACCGAAGCCTATCTGGGGGCCCTTCTTCGGGCTCTGGTGCGCATGACCATGTCACTGAGCCTGGAAATGACAACAACGACGAGGACATGGTCACAGACACCGTGGGAGCAATTGCCATCGATCAATGCGGAAATATCGCCGCTGGGTCCTCTTCGGGAGGCATTGGAATGAAGCACCAAGGTCGAATAGGCCCTGCAGCACTGATAGGCATAGGGACGCACGTCTTCCCGGTGGACCCCAGAGACCAGGAGCACACTGCGGTTGCCGTGGTCACTTCGGGGACTGGAGAACACATCGCCACAACACTGGCAGCCAGCACCTGCGCATCCCGGATTTACTACAGCCAGAAAATGGGACAGACCGGCGGGCTCGAATCTGTGACCGAAGAGGAAGCTATCAGCGCAATGATCAATGCAGAGTTTACAGGTGGGCATTTTTGTTGCACTACTTGTTTGGAAGCTAATCTCGTTGCCTCACTCAAATACAGGCCATCCAGGTGTTAACAAGAGCCTCATCTTTGGCGCCATTGGTATAATGGCTGTCAAGAGCAACACGGACGGCATTGCTCTCTACTTTGCGCACAACACCGACTCATTTGTAAGTTCTTCTACGACATACGCTATGGCTGATGAATTGGTTCGCTGACGACATATCCCAGGCTCTGGCTTCCATGTCCAGCAAGGATGAAAAGCCTTCCTGCGTGATGTCCCGGAACAGACAGAAAGGGCTCGTTGCTCAAGGAGGCACTATGTATCGACACAAGTAGTAAGTTTCATGTTTACCGGTCATGGAGACTGACTGCTAAACGTGGATGATCCTGTCAGGACCCCAAGCCTCGACTACGCTCTTAATGGGTCGTTTCAAGGCTGTTTTTTTATTGCGTTAAAAGGCTAAGTTCTTTCGCGGATATTCTCGCTCTCACTGCCTAACCAAAGTGGTACCCCTTTCCCCTTGCATTTGGTTCCTTCACACTGTCCCATTCTGCATTTTCTGGTGGCGTTTCCAACCAGCATAGCGACAAGGCGCGTCTCGGTCATCATGGGTTGATCCGCAACAGGATCCTGTTTTCCCTTTCCCAGTTGCTTTCCGATCCGCATTGGTGGTTATCGTTTGTCTCAGTCCAGATTCCCAGGCGCTTTCATTTTGCGCCTGCCCGTTCCTAGGTTTCTTCAAAAGACCAATCGAGACATGTGTTTCCATTTTATCAGTATCTCGTAGTTTGACCTGGACTGGACCACCTTCGAAACATCCCGTCGTATTCTAAGTGGCATGGTATAAGTGCAGCTATCAAGAGACAAAGATAACAATCAGGGACCAGGTGTAGGCGTAGACATCGGCGTGCCCGCAGCCGAAACACCATTCACGCGCTTCTTTTTCTTCTTCTTCCGCGGCAGCAGCGCAGGCTTGGCACCATAATCGCCCAGCTCCAATTGCGTCCCGCAGGTCAGACACACGATGCCCGGCGGCGGTTCACAGAAGATACTCAGACAGATCGAACAGACGTACCCGGTGCGGACGACCTTGCGGTGACAGAAGCAGGCGGCGCGGAAATCCACATTCACATTGGTCGGGAGCACCAAGTGGCGGCGCGAGCGCTGGTCCGGCAGGAAGGCCATCATCAGGTATTGGAGCAGACCGCCGGGATGATCGAGACACATGTAGATCCCCTTGGTCGCGTCGCAGGCCTGCTGCAGGAAGACGGCATCGCCGCTGAGCTTGCACACGTCGATGGGGATATGCAGGCGTTGGCATGCGAAGATGCTGTTCATCATTGGGATGTACTGGTGCGCGGAGTCGCTGGAACCGCTGACGCTGACGATCAGGATGCGGCTTTGCAGTCGCTCGTCGTCTTCGGCCGAGTATCGCGCTGTTCCTGGTGCTCCGCTGCTGCCGCCCGCACCGTCCGCTGCCGTGTCCTCGAGATCGGCACCGCCGTGCGCTTCGGCCCAGGCGATCGTGCGCCGGTTGATGTGGCTCAGGGCGAGCGTCAGTGCTCCGGCGAGCATCGTGGATGTTGTGACGCGGAGGTCATCGCCCGTCGTGGAGTTCATCAGCTCCCGCAGGTTGCGATTCACCTGCTCCTCGACCATGCGGAAAGGGCGGTATTTGTTGGTTTGTTGTGCGGCGGCGGCGGTGCTGTCGCCGTTCATGCTGATGTCTCCATCTGGATCGGGGGAGATGGTTGCGCCCTTGTCCTGGTGGACAGGGTACAGCCATGCGGCTTTTTGGCTGTGTGATGCTACGACGGCGACTTCGTTGGCATAGTTGCACGCGAGATGGGCGTTGATGAAGACGAGGATGTTGGCAATGGCCTTGGAGAGGGGGAGGGAGTCTTCTAGCTGGGCCCAGGCGTGGGGATTCGTGTCGATGATGACGGTCAGCAGGGCCGGGGCGAGGTCTAGTTTGTCCGGTGTCAGTCTAGGTACTGTACTTGATCCGGGGCATGAGATCTCGGGCACACACCAGTGGCAGCTTGCTCGTGGTGCTCGGATGCATCGACGGAATTCATGGTGGCCGGGAGATGGTCAATGGAGGGCGCAGCGCATGATGGCACACTCGACTGAGTCCCCGATGCCTTTGTCTTCGACAGTGCCCGGCGCAGACACGAGAATGAGAAGAAAGATGGACAAGAAGGGAATTGGAAGCTCGGACACGATAAGACCACTCACGGGCGATAACCACCACCGCCAAACCCTAAACCGGATCTCAACTAGGCTAACTAACTACAGAACTTCGTATTATTCTGGTTCCCGATAGGGATCGGACTTGACTCCTTCGGACTGCACGCTAGTTACTGTAGGTGGTCGAGCTCGGTCTCACGGTCCTATCAGCCGCTCCGGTCATGACTGGCCTTTGGGAACGCGCCCTATGGATCCACCGGGATAATCACCACCAGCAGGATGGCAGATACCTCGTATGCAGGAGAATGGTGTTACCACATGCCAGTCAGGATAACAATAATAATGGCCGTAACGGTATGCTATGCATCAGAATCCTGTAGTCCGTCTCACTGCGACCAACGTGATGCCACCGGTCGCCGTGGTTGGTCTTGCGAGAACAAGATAAGATCAAGGCGTAACCTAAAGAAGAAACGTAAGATATTCAGAAAGGGTGAATTAGCTTTGCTTATTCCTGTCAGGGTGGTCCAAGGAGTAGTAGTTAGCTATTCATTTCATCATCTCCCATCTTTCTTCTTCGTCTTCTTCCTCGGTCGCTCTCCGCTCCCACCTGGACTGAAGGAAAAAAAAGTTGCTAGTTCTTTTGATCTTAACCTCCTCCACCACCATCACACTATCTGGCCCCTCCATCTCGAACCCCCTTGCAGCGTGCTGCTCGCACCCCTGCAATGGTCTCAGCAACAGGCGAAGCGCGCGCTGTCCACCTGGCTACGGAGGCCGTCGAGCTGGTTGATGCCGGCCATCGCGAGGTACGTAATACACTCACCCCCCGACCGCGACTAGCTCTTCCGGAACATCTGGCATACTGATTTTCTGGGCCCTTTGACTAGGCTGCATCGCGAAATCTACGAGAAGCTCTATCCATTGCCCCCGACCACCCCGACGTGAAGGCGGCGTTCCTCAAAATCCAACACGAGGAAGAAAATGGCCACCAGCTCCTGGAGCTCTGTCGGCGGTACACCGCGCGCAAAGATGAGACCGCCGGCAATGAGGCAGCTGCCTACCTTCGCACGGACGGCCTGAAGCCACCCGAGAACGTCGCGTTGGAGTCCCTGAAGCTTCTGCTCGCTCAGCGACCACATGCCTTGTCGGCGACCCAGGACGAGGTCATCTCCGGACTGGTGCGGCAGAACGCCAGCGTCCGGCAATTCTTTTCGACACAACTGCAGGTGTCGGTGACGACCTTCTTTGACGAGATCTACCCCCGAGGCGACGGCGCGGCGGTATGCCTGGACACGGTGGTGCTGGATCCCAGTGTATGGCCTGCAGAGGATACCCGGTCGCACTGCGAGAGCGAGCTGTTCCTGCTCTTCTTGGCGAAACTCATGGAATCCGGCCATGACCTAGATGGTCGCGCCCTGAAGGGTATTACAAGGCTACTTGCTGTCGACGCCGATAGACTGCAGCACCTGGTTGACGAGGAGAGTTTCGAAGTGATCCTGACATCACTGGACAATCGACTGCCCCTCGAATTGCGCAGTCAGGCAACGCTGGCGACCGCAAAGTACCTCGAGGTAGCCAAGGAACCAGGAGAGAAGCTTTTCTCCAAGTTGATTTTGTCTATGATTGACAAGCGTCGCCCTGATGATTTTATTGTGGCCTTTTCTGCAGTCACAGCTGTTTTCCCCGTGGCCCCCGCTGCGACGGCCAACCTTTTCTTGTCGGAAGAGTTCATGGAGGCTCTGGGTCCCATGGCATCGCGAGACACCAAGAGTAAGAAACTCGAAATTTCTATGCTGGAATTGCTGAACGCGGCGTGCATCAACAAGCCATCCCGCGAAGCAATCTCCAAGCAATTCTCCGAGTGGCTGTCCCACACCTTGACAAATGGCAGCGACGAATGCTCTGAGCTGGCGGCGGTGATCCTGGCAAAGCTGCGGGCTTCTGAGACGGCTCAATCGGCCGGCGCGAATGGCCAGGCGCAAGTGGAGGACGGCGAGGTTCTTGAACTGATTCAACGGTTCAAGGGACTCATGTCCGATCCCAGTGCTGAAAAGATCTCCCATGCCATTGAGGGGCTTGCCTATTCCTCGGTGAAGCCCTCCATCAAACAGCAACTCGGTCAAGACTCGGCATTCCTGCACGACCTTGTCGCCGTGATCAAGAAGCACACCGGCGACTCCTCCGTTCTCTACGGCGGCTTGATGATCGTTCTGAACCTTACCAAGTTCCTTCCTAATCTCTCAGAGGAACAGAAGAAAATGTCTCAGCTCAAGGACTACGCTGACGCATCTACTGGGAAAGCTAGAGCTGCTCCAGATGTTCGAGACGAGGATGAAGCCGTGGTCGGCCGCTGTTGCGCCCTCATTGATGCAGGCATCATGACGCTACTGGTTGAGTGTGGAAAAATTACACTGCCTTCAATCCACGACCTCACGAGTAAGATTATGTTGGCACTTGCCCGGAACCAGAAGTCCCGAGGCACGCTCGCCCAGCAGGGTGCGGTGAAGCTGCTGCTCAGTCTCGCCATTCCGAAACAGGGGAGCTCCGGCCCCATCGCCAACGAGACGACCCAGACTGCGTCCCATGCCCTGGCCCGGATTCTTATCTCGGTCGACCCTTCACATGTGTTCCCGACCTCCGGCTTCCCCCAAATCACCACGGCGGTCCGCCCCTTACTTGCCCTCCTCTCGTCGCCCGAAACCCCTTCATTCTCGGCCGACCAGCCTCGTGACCTGCTCCCGGTCTTTGAAAGTCTACTGGCCCTGACGAATCTCGCATCGTCTCCGGACGAGTCTGCGGCAGAGCTGATTGTTCGGCAAGGCTGGTCCGCCGTCGAAGATTTGCTTCTCTCCAGCAACGCCCGCGTCCAACGCGCGGCATGCGAGCTTGTCTGCAACCTGATGACCTGCGAGTCCGGGGTTGTCCAGTTTGCCGATGGCTCCAAGCGCGCGGCGCAGCGTTTGCATATCTTACTGGCCTTGACGGACGCGGACGACGTGCCCACCCGGCTTGCGGCCGGTGGAGCCCTGGCTATGCTCACGGAGTACGACGCGGCCATAGCGGCGGTGTTGGAGCGACCACGCGGTGTCGAGCTGCTGCTGGGTCTGTGTCAAGAAGACGACGACGGTTTGGTCCACCGTGGCGCTGCCTGTCTGCGCAATCTGACCTGCACGGCATCTGGTGACATCGGAGCGCGAGCCAAGGCGGCCGTCCGAGCTGCGGGAGGTATCGAGATCCTGACTGCGTGTCTTAAGAAGACGTCCAACCCGGCGGTACTACAGGCGGGCGTAGAGGCTCTGAAGCCGCTGGTGGAGCAGCGATGATTGATTTTGCATGCGGAGATATCGGGACAGGGCTGGACGATTTTCCTTTTCTTTTTCCCGCCGGCGTTTCTTTATTTGCTGGGATTAGCGTTCTTGTCTGTTTTTGCTTCGGTGCATTCCGGGTTTCTGGGTATAGAGTGAATACAAGTGTCATGTGATGCAGTCTATGCAATGGGTCACGAGTGCTGCTCTTTGACTGTCTCCCAGCGTAGGTATTCTATCCGACAGCCAGTACTACCCCTACCCCTACGGAGTAACTCCTACTCCCACGACTATAAGCATGACGTCCGGGCCCCACCCCACCTCCCCGCCGATCGACAAATCACCGCCGCGGCACGACGCACACTTACCCTGTGGACCTGGTTCAACTCTCCCCTTCTCTTTCTTCTCTCTCTCCCTCTCAGCCTCTCTTCTTACCCTCGTGGCCCTCGTCCTTCTTCAACTCTAGGTGAGTTTCCTTCCAACTAGGTCCTCACCGCTTGCAGTCGTCCCCACTAATCCACTCCCCACTTACACAGGTACAGTCGCTCCTTTGTTCCGCGAGCTTGTCCTCTCTCAACCCCCCCCACACAAAAAAATCTCTTCCTTCCTACCTCCTCTACACAGCTTCACACATGGCTTCGCTTCTTTCTTCCCTTCCCTGCGTTCGCCCGCTCACCTGATTGCGTTGCTTTGTGGCCCTCAGGTTGGACTCGACTACATACGGATTTCGGCGCATTTCCCAGCCATTGGCAGTGCGCCTAGGCGGCATTTGAGCCTGGCGGGATAGATCAGAAAGTACAGGCCAACATCAGTGCAGGTGCTACAACATCATGAAGTTTGGGCGCAATTTGCCCCAGTTCACCGTCCCCGAATGGAGCGCCTCCTACATCAAATACAAGGCGTTGAAGAAGCTCATCAAGTCGGCGGCTGAGGAAATCAAGGCTGGACAGGAGGCAGATCTGGCGGGTAAGGATGGCCTTGGATTGTATCTTGCTCCATCGAGCGCGCTTCTAACGACGGGCGGTTTCTTTTACCTTTTCCGTTGAGTGTTATAGGCTTTTTCTATTCTCTCGACCGAAATGTCGAGGATGTCGATTATTTCTACAACAAGAAGTACGCGGAATACGTGCGCCGCCTCAAGCTCCTCGAGGACCGCTACGGTTACTCGATGGACGGCCGCCACCGCCTCGAGCCCGAGGACCGTCATGACCTGCGAGAGGCTCTGCTGGATCTGCGCTACCACCTGCGTCGCTTGCAGTGGTACGGAGAGGTCAATCGGCGTGGGTTTGTCAAGATCACCAAGAAGCTGGACAAAAAGGTCGGTGCCCAGTCCCAGAAACGCTACCTGGAAACCAAGGTCGATCCGACTCCGTTCGCATCGAATGCGCGCGTGAACAAGGCGCAGGAACGGATCAATTCGTGGATGGCCATCATCACCGACCAGAGCAAGGCCGACGAGAAATTGGCCGACGACTCCAGCTCCACTCACTCCTCCCTGTCACTCAAGCGCGGACCCTCCCGACCTTACCTCAACCTGCCCCCAAGTGTCCTGACGGCTGTGGATGAGGCCCTCCGCAAGGATG